ACATCTTTTCCTTTTCTGTTTTTTTCTATTTTTTTCGGTTCTTTTTGACCTTACTATTTATTATAAAACCGCGCCGATCCCCTATGATTACACCCCCCCCCCCCCCCCCCCCCCCATGCTCGATCTAACCGGCGGGTTTTCCACTCTCGGGTATCGAGTTCTAAAGCTATGCATAGCTTATTCAGACTGCAACGGCAGAGACGTGGATCCCTTTTCTTTGAAGTCCCCATTGTAACATTAGAAGCTTTCCTTTGATGCCCAAGTCCGTCCCCGATTAATATTGGCAGCGAGGTAGGTAATTATTGTTTACGAAAAAGGCAAAACTTACGAATCGGTGGGAATTCGTTACGAAAATTGCCCTTGATTACTCGCTTCATCTGAGCCAAGAGGTTCGAGCGTAGACCCGAAGAAATACATACCTACCTCCTATACCTATGATAAAAGAGCTTCCACCGCGATGTCACTTAACCAAAGAGAATGCTATAATTTGTAATTCTAGATCCCGCCCCTGAAAATCTACATCATAGCAAAAGCATGTGCATGACGCAATCTTCATTACCACTACCTCTCATCCAATCTTTTGTAGGGTTTCATTCCGGGGCCGAGAGCGGCGTCTCGTCTCTTCTATTCCCTTCAATTCGGCTTCTAAGCGAAGCCTCAACCACACAATGCTAGCTACCTGGCCATCGACATATCTGCGTCCATGTGGCAGCACAGAGAATCGGATCCACTAAGAAGTGCAGCACGTTAACTTAAGGACTTATTACTCGGTTTCGGCTGATATTTACCTGCCCATTAGGCTTTTTTATGTCGTGCGTCACAATGCCAGGCACCCCTTCGAGGCGAGTGCTATGTAGCGAATACGGCCCAGATCCTGCTTAGATCTCCTAAGGGTTAGGTGACACAGTCGTCCCCTATTCACGCAAGCATTTACCTACTATACCTAACCTACCCATACGACCATTTGCATCTCCCCAGAGCTTCAGACAAGAGTTCAGCCAAAAGCCTGGGATATTGTACGAGAGACCGCTGATGAAGGCCGGCCGTTTATGGAGAAGCGGCCCGCCGACCCGCACTGAGGACAAAGCTTCGCATTCTCGGGGCCAGGACGGGATTTCCGGCCTTCCAAAATTTAACTGCCTACCTCCTATGTTAGGTACCTAGACACATTTACCTATAAAATCGATATTGAAATGTGAGGTTTTTCCATAGTATTGCCGCCGTTGCCTACACGTCATCCTGACGTAGGCAAGAGATGGCTTCATTTTAACCCCTGTGCGTTCCTAGGAAGATTTATCATGTCCGAAGGAGACCGGGCAGCGTTGTTAATTATCTCTCTTTAACCTCGATTCGGTCCGTAGAATATTGGACTGGTTAAATCTCACACTAAGATAATATCGCGACAATGTCAGTACCTACGTCCCGTAACATCGCTACTCCAAACTAGAAATTGCCAGCCCAGCTTCAACAGCCGGTCTCGAAGAGCAGAAAATTTACTATACTATGTTGGACATGGAAGGGGAGGCATTTTATCTCATGCCATTGCATTCCCAAGTTCTTCCCGCAAAATTAAGCGCGCATGAACGGCCCTATTGTCGGGATGGACGTCACGGCGGTGATATTCCATACAGTAGAGCACACCCTGAGGGCCCGGAATGCCATTGCATATACCAATGTCAAAAGACGTGGTAGAAATACAGGTACATATCTACCTAGTAGGTAGACACATGTCGCTGTGCCGGCATTGCGACAATTAAGAGGCATTGAGTAAGGTATCAGCCAACAGGCCCGATAACAACGTAGATCATGGCGGCGTATGGTGCCAGGATCCCCCGAAACCCAACCCATGTATGTAAAATCCCGTCGTCGCAAACGCCAACAATATCACGGGTATTAAGTTCCTGGTCTCACTTTGCTTGCACCTGCTTAAGCAACTTTAACGACGATAGGCTATACGGCTCTTAGTACTTGTCGAGATATCTGTGGGATACATGGGATGGGTAATGATATGAGGGACGTTGGTCCATTTCACCGCGAACCTCACATTTCGTCTGAAGGTTTTAGTTCGCAATAGTCAAATATTTGAAATTGATATTTCCTAGGTAGGTACATATAGCTGCCTCTACACTCGTCCATCGATCCTAATATCGACCGACATAACTCTTAAAGCAAGAGAGGTACCTATAGATTACCATCTCGCTCAAATGAATCTGGGAGTGTTATCATCTTGGCCGGTGCATGTAGAGAGAGCATGCTAATAGATCCCTAGCGATAAATGACCTGTAACTAGTCATACACAGACGAAGCGATACCTATACACATCCCAGGTGGATACGATTAACTTCCCTTGGCTAAGGGAATATGATTTGCACAACAGGTAGTTGCTGAGTGGGATACCTAATTCTATATGCCTAACATACAATGAAGCACATCAAATCAGAGTTTCCAAGTGCTAAGCTATTAAGATTAAAAGATACTGGACATTATCATCTGAAGCTCTTTTATATAATGGAAGAGACTTAATCAGTTTCGCAGCAAAGTCTCTGAGGCCACTGACACCTAGAGACATGCATAAGGCAATAGCTAATTTCATTAATACGTACGAAACTCCTTATGCCTAGGCACCTAACGCATGCCAAATTTTCAACCCAATTATACGATGACTGTTTGATCTCCTTTATCCTTCTCATGCCTCCCAGACAATGGTTGGCCCAGCTGCTCAAGAGGTATAACGACAGGCTTGCCGCTTATCCTTCTGCGCTGGACAACTCCTCTACAAGCCGAGAAAAACAAGAGGAAATGTACGATTCTACGCACACGCTCAGCATTACAGCTACCTAGGTACCTAGGTAGGCAAGTACCTATGAATGGATAAAGGACATAGAAATCAACTCACGTCAAAAGAGCCAGAAACGCCACGAGGACCTCCATTAACCGGATATAGGATTTACTATAATACTCGAAATAGTTGTTAATATCACCGCCGTGGTAATATTCGTAATATTCGGGGTACGCGTCGCGGTCATCCGAGCCGGAAACCTCCAGGGCCCACGACAAGATGTACGCCGTCAAACCGATGCCGACGCCGAAGCCGAGCCATAGCAAGAGGTGCACTGCCGCGTGCGCGCCTGGATGAATCGGCCGGCGACTCGTGCTCCCCGCGTACGTAGCAGCAAGGTCGATGGCGGACCAGAACAGAGCAGCAACGGCCTGGGGCGCGGTCCACACGACGACGTAGCTCTGTATAGCAGGGTCGACGATGAGGGTGATGGAGATGCCCAGAACGATAGCGCAGAATGCTGTAGACAGCGCGACTAGGACAGCCTTAGTCACGGACCATGTTCCACCGATGAAACCTGGTGAAGACGGTTGTGGCGGCTGAGATGAGCTGAGATCTGACTGGTGCTGTCGAGGTTGAGGCTCATCCGAGTCCAACCCTGTTTTCCTCATTGTATGGGGGGCTACCTAACTATAAGGTTCGTTTCGCTACATGGTATAATGAGACGGTTGAAGTAAAAAATGACCAAGATGAAAAAGGTAATATAGTTGTTAGGTACCTAAGTTAATGTTAAGTGATGTAAAATGTAAATGGGCTTGCGATGTGCTTTCCAGTTCTCATCCCTTGTATTGTGGCATATGTACCTCGTACCTCCTCAATTCATTCTGGTTTCACGGGATTACGCAATAGATTCCCCTGCTTGTCCCTAGTTCGCCAAGAACAGTAGGGTAAGTCGCGACGCTAGCGGGCTAGTCAAAAGCCTTCCCCAGATCCCCAGAGCTAGGATACCCTGCTAAGGTTAAGCTTAGGTACTATTAGCTTTAGGTATTGTATAAAACGTACCTGTAATAGATTTCAGGTATGATGGCTCTATCCACTTTTAAAGCATTACCTGCCTTCCATTAGACGTGATTTCACAACTTGCTTCAACACAATGCTATTCCAGGTATTTACGTACCTAGACAATATCTCTCTACGGTCCCGAATAATCATGTCATATAAAATTATAATTAGATACCTGGTACGCCAGCAATCCTTTAGGTTGGTTAGAAATCTCATAAATGATTGACATATGCATATATCATCGTACAAACCGCAAAAAAGAAAACAGCTCAGCTTCCCCTCGCGCACGATAGATGCCGACCGGGCCTTCGCGCATTCCAAGGTCCGAAACAGGAAGTCCATTCAAGAAGTGTGGCGTTTGAGAGCAAGCGAATCATATCGTTTAAATCCGGCCTCGTCGTTTGATAAAGAGATATCGCCGATGGAGATATCTAAGATATATCAACATCTTTTAAGTGCGTAAATTTCTCGAAAGATGGTATCCCAAAATATCAAATCAAATAAAAAATTAAATAAGAATTAATAACCACAAGTTAACGGTCTTCTTCAAATCACAGAGCCTAGATGGTGATATAAAATACCATTCGTTTAGAAGAATCGGGCTTGTCGTCGTCATATCCCCCGTCCGTGTGGCCAGGCTGGATATAGGTTAGGTACCTAACTTGATTACGCGTTATTGATCTTCAGTACTTCGAATGCCGCGTCCCGCCGGTATTCTAACTGCAAGCATAAGGTTCTTATTTACTTACGTCAACTCGTAATCCGTGCCGAATATAATATTCCACGCTCTCCTCGTGCCCCGAACCTCAAAGACCGACCCATCGACTAGTTGCTTGTCCGCATTTCTGTTGTAGCCTTGTTTAAAACCTAGCAGGTTAACTACCTAGGTACTTACTTCATTTTATTAAATCTCCCATTTACTGTACTTATATCTACCATGGATTTCAGCCAATGGGGTAATCCCAGCAAAGAATGGCTTGCTTTTGCGGCGGCAAATCCGGCGCTCCTGGCACGGAACGAGGATCATCTGCCGCCACTTGTTCTACAACAAAAGACGAATCATTCCCGCACAACAATCGCCAAGACACTCGTCGCGGCTACAGGTCTGGGTAATCTTGTCGTCACGGAGGATTATGTCGTACCGACTCGGGACGGGAAGTCTATCACCATCCGGACCTACCGGCCCATCTTGCTAGGTGCGAAGCCGCTTCCCGGCTACGTATTTTTCCACGGAGGAGGCTACTTCTTCGGCTCGTTGGATACGGAGCTCTTTAACTGCTCCTGGTTGGCACATGCGTTGTCTATTACTGTCGTACATGTCTGCTATCGCCATACTCCTCATGTTAGCGGGTTGACACCGTGGCACGATGCCCTCGACGGTTTTGAATGGGTTGTTACGCATACGGAGAAGCTCGGAATTGTCGCTTCCCGCATCGTCGTGGGTGGTATCTCGGCAGGCGGCTCGCTGACGGCGTGCGTGGTGCAGAACGAGGTGCGGCGCGCGCGCGAAACGGGAACGCCGTGCCGTATACATGGTCAGGTCTTAGGCATTCCGAACCTAATCAATTTGAAGGCATTCCCCTACCATCTATTCGCCGACAAGGAGAAGACATCCCTGGTGCAATGCGCGGATGCTGCTGTTATCCCAAAGCAACGAATGAGACTTTTCACCGAGATGCTAGGTAGCGATGTTTATCCGGCTAACCAGACTTGGAGTCCTGGGCTTGTCGACGAGGAGGAATTGCGTGGCACGCCGCATACGGCTATTATGGTTGCCGGGTGGGATCCCATCCGGGACGAAGGGCTGTGGTACGCACAGAAGTTGAAAAATGCAGGGTAAGAGAACGTTTCTCATCTCTTTATGAAAGATAATCTTGGTTTCTCTAATATTGATCCGCAACCTTTTTAGTGTTCGGACAAAAGTCCATATCTTCCCGGGTCTTCCTCACGCTTTCTACGCCTTTGTCGGTCTACCATCGCATAGACGCTGGAACGAAACTATGCTCGATTCTTTGCGCTGGGCGGTAACCGAGGAAGACGGATGGATCGTCGAGGAGCCTCCCGTGATGTCACCGCTTATGGAGAAGGCTTTGGCAATCGGCGCCCCGGTTGACCCGACAACTCCTGGTGCCACTCCCGAGGATATGGCAAAGTCGGGAAACCTTCTTCGAGGAGAATAATGTTTTTCTTTTTCTGTGGATTCGAGGGGCCAATAGCGAATAATCAGTTTTACGAGTTCTCTTCATGGCAAATGGAGGTGGAAAGAATCAAGATGACGGTAGTAGAAGTCTAGATGATGCCGTCATCTTTTAAAATCACATCCACGAAAACCTGACTGTACCGAAGGGGATATGCATAACATTAGGTACCTCCTATCTTAGGTAGGTAGGTAGGTATACAGAGATAGAGCATGAATTAAGCCCGACCAGCCATATTGGCCTTCTCTTATTATTGTCGGCAGTCCCTCGGGCCTCAACTTAGCAAGTCACTCCTTATAAACATTCTTATATCTTAGGTACCTCCTATACTATGGTAGATTTCCATCTTGCAAGTCTTTTTTTTAATTATCGTCCACTAGGTCAGCCACTAGGTCAGGTACGTATTGTACAATACCTGTGTATATGATATATTAGGTATTCGCATTACCAGGAGATTATGAGCGCACCTTCCTCTCTACGTCGTCCACGCTGCACTGCACGTTGCCCTCAAGATATTGTACAATTTACATAAATTCTACCAGAACAGGACATCGGTTCAGGCCGCAGTTCTCTTAACTAACATCCACTCATGATAGCCTCCTTCTTTCCTTACACTATATTTATTTTCACCGACCTGAGATTTCTAATTCATTTGAGGGTATCTCTCTCTATCTCCGGGGATTGTCCCCCTTTATATCCCAAATATCGTACTATTTACCATGGCGGCCTTCTCGCGAGCAACATCACTCCTTCTCAGCAAATCAGTCAACGTTCGATGCTCTCAGAAACTACTCTGTCACTTTGAACCATCGTATGGGGCCCTCTCTGCTTGACATAGAGTATTCTGGAGCACCGCCATGGACTAACTGGTAATTTTAGCACACTTACCTCGCCGGGATTCGATAAAAGCCATCTTCTTAACAAAGCTATCTACAATGGTATGTCTCTTACAGGCCATACATCGCCGGACACCAACGGTTTTCAGAACAAGCAACCGCGTAAGTCAACTGCTTTCTATTGGTACTCCCCCAACCCCAACCCAAAAAGCTCCTTCCTCCTAATTGAAATCGCCATCCAGTAACGGCGAAACCTCTGGGAATCATACCAACGTCAAGCCTGGGTACCGCTGTGCCGTTGGTACACAGCACGATCCCGCCACAGCAAGGCAAGACCACCACCACCACCAAAGTCTGGGACGCGCATAAGAAGGACACCACTCCCCCCCTTGCATTGCGTTCCTACTCCTACGCGTCTGGCACTAATGGCGTGCCGCTCAACCGCAACAAGACCTTCGCGGGTCGCCGCTACAAGGCGCAACTTGATATCATGCAGGACCAGAAATGCTTACGTAGCAGCATGGACGATTTCCTCGTTCAGCTCTGGAGCATTATTGTTAGCGGGTTTCATCCTGCTCTGGTCTACATGGGCGCGGTAATGTTGACTATCAGTCTGAGCACGATAATCATGGCGTTATCGATAATATTCTTTTATTAGGTGCCTTAGGTTAGGTACCTGTCTTTGGGGGGAAAGGGGCGGGAAGGGGCGGGAAGGGGCGGGAAGAAAAGATTGCCTCCTATGGTGACGTCCGACTTCGGCCTATTCCTCTTAGTCTTCCCGCCTGGATGGTCCGAGGCATTGAATGATATACTTGAGAAGTACGAGAGAAATAGTCGTGAAGCTACTGCAACTAGGCGGCGAGGAGAATTATGCCATGGAGCTGTAATGTTTGCTGTTATCAACGATACGGCCAGCCAACTACCTAGGCATGTAAATCCTGCGATGAATCAGCTAATTGATAGGCAATATCAGGTTCCTAGCAAGGAAAACAAGTTTATTTATTCATTTCGAGCAGTCCTAGGGTGATACACTTACCTCAGGTACTTTGTGAAGCTCCAGAGTTGAAGCCTACCGTGATTCAAAGGCCTGTGGAAGTGGACTGGTATCGACTGAAGATTCCGAGAACGGCTTTGTCCCAACTAACGTAATGTAGACTCGTTTGAGCAGTCCTTAAATTACACATTATCTCAATAATTTCTTGAGTTCCATGTTCTATTCCTTTTTAGATCACCCGATCAGGCTGTTGATCGACCGAATAGCCCCTAGCCTAGAACACCTAAAGCACGTATTCGGCGCATTGTAACATCACATGCTCTTAGATATCTGAATGTTCTATACTGAGAGTAGGTAAAGCTTGTGGTATTAGTTGGTATTAGAACCGAGGCCAATCTAGGGCATTTGGGGGGTATATACAACATCCGTAGTAGTAGTAGTAGTCGACATGATACAGCGAAATAAAGCCACGGATCGAAACTCTACCTATATTTCCATCTTCTGACGTCCCTCTTCCCACGTAAGCGAGTCGCAGGAAGCTTTCTACTCGTCGTCAAGTATTCGACTTGCTATTTGACCGAAAACAGGAACTTCGAATCTGCAAAAGTATAAGTATATGTACCTTAGGTAGGTAGGTACGGTACTAGTTAAAGCAAGGAAAAAAAAAGAAAAAAAAAAGAAGAGAGAGCTGGGACGGCCTTACCGATCTAACGTATCTGCGTCTCGATATGCCCGCTGAGCTAGCCAACCCATCAGACCTAGATCCGCGAGGAATAAGACCCAGCTGAGGAATGTTGACCACGAGAATAGCAGGTGTACGATGAAAATGACGGTGAATAACAGACTAGACTGCCACGCGTGGAACCTGGCAATGAGACGAGACGTTAGCATGGGTATGCGCGAGAAGCTACCTAACCTAGGTAATTAGCTGGTTGGGAAGTCTGCATAGCAGTAGTATCATTATTATAGGAAATCTTCCCAGATGGAAGACCCCCTAAAACATGTTACTATCTATCTATCTATCTTCCTTAGAACAACAACTAACTAACTGGGCAACCCGAGTGGATAGATAGATAGATAGGTTAGATAGGTAGATTGGATAGATAAAACCCACCTGACGAAATCGCTCTTCCGCTCGACAATCAGCAGTATAATAGCGCCCAGCGGCGGCAGCGCGAGGTACGCCAGACACGCCTCGTAATCGAGCCGTATGCCGAGGCTGGTGTCGAACTCGCTCACGTAGGCCCCGGTCTCAGGCGCATAACCGCCGCCGGTACCGCCGCCGGGGAGCGCGGCCTGCCACGAGCGCTGGGGCTGCGGGTGCTGTAAGGGGGGCGGGGACTTGGACGCGAAGCCGCGCTGCTGCTGCTGCTGCGAAGGGGAGAAGGGCCGTCGGGTGTCGAAGGAAGAAGTAGCGCGCGGCGACGCGGCGTTGGATCGCGGAGGGGAGAAGGGGCGGTTGTTTTCCGGCGGGGAGGATTGGTATGGTGCGAAATCCATCGCGGGGGACGGGGTTTTATTCGGGTGACCTCCTATATAGGTATATATGTTGAAATGGCGTTGGAGTGGGTTTATTATTATTATTAGATTTCAAGTTATGTTTAGCTGTTAGATGTTGTTGTTGATGTTGACCGAGGCGCAGTTGGTACTTCGTGCACTGTACCTCAGATCCCATTACGGCGGAACGGCAAGTGCGCAATGTGACTTGCAGCAGCAGCTAAATCTTATTGCGTTCAGGCCCTGTAACAGGGACCGCATGGGGGTGTGGACAGGTGGACAGGTGGGACATCTAAGGGTCCACTCGAGAATCAATATGAATTTATACGGTATAAACCGTACATACCTGTTAAGAAACTTGCATTATTGAACTTGGTATAAGAACGTCATAGGTAATTGTGAAGTGACGAGGTCCTGGATACTGAAATCATAAATGCAGTAAAATCCAGGATACAATAAAATATACAGTAGTATAATAAATACCACACATGTCATCCGTAACTTTTTAATACACTTTTAAGCCGACGACACGTACTCCAGGTCCAGGCCGTATAACTTATTGCTATACGAAATCCATACGACATGTAATCTATGAGCTCGTCTCTTCCTTCGTTTCTTCCTCCTTCTTAGCACCTCCGTTGGCCTCCTCTTCGAGCTGCGTCCTCCTGCTCTCCAGCGCAAGCCACAATCCCTTGCTGTGGCCTTCCAACGCCGTCGTAATACCCAGACCAGCGCTCTGGAGCATGGAGATGAACTGCGCCCTGAGGGTGTCGAGACCGCCCTCGATGCCGCCGACCCATTTAACACCCTCGAGGTCGAATACCCGATCCTCTATGCGACCACCCACTAGGATTAACTTCTGCAACGCATTCTGCGCCGTCGGATCGTAGTAACCCGGGTTCTTCTTGCGCGAAGGAGGCGGGAATGCCGGCGGCGAAGGCGCTAGAACCGACAACACGGCCGCTAGATGGGCCGGAGACACATCCGGGAAAGTCACAGCCGCGACGGGACCAACGAGTAGCGGGGCAACCTGGGCGTATTTCGAATTCTCATCGGCAGCCTTGCTGGCCTCCGATATAGTCTTGTAGGCCGTAGCTGATAGATCGTGCTTGTAGGCGTTGGATTTGGAAGGCTGCGCCGCGGGGTCGAAGAACTCGACTATCTTGAAAGCGACGTTGAAGATGCGCGTGCGAAGAACCTGCAGCTCGATTTTCGACGCAATATCTATGGGGACGCCATTACTATCAGTCGGGCCTGCGACGGGCGGGGGAACATTAGCAAGGGCCAGGCGTAGCTCCCGTCGTACAGCAGCCCATTCTACCGCGGTAAGGTTGTTATGTTGGAAGAATAGGATTATGGGCGTCGAACGGAGAAGAGCGGTATAAGATCGGAGGAGTTGGGTTTTTCGCTCCTCTGGTCGCCGTGCGCTCGGGGGCTGAGTAGGTGGGACATAGTTATCGGGAAGTCTTAAACCTCCAAGGGGTAATGCGGAAGCGGAAGCACTTGCATAGTGCCTCGAAGCATCACACGAGCTTTGTAGGAAGATGGCTGTAGGCCTTTGGGGGTTTATTGTTCTTCGAAGGGCTCGACTTATACTGCCCCGCGCCGAGCCATTGATTCGTGGCGGCATCTCTGTTAACGACTTCGAGGATCCTTATGCCTATTACCGGTTTATTATGCCCTCGAGAAGCCCTCAGTGATGTTGCCCTGCTGTTGGGTGCGGCCTTACTCTTTTTTTATTTATTTTTTTAGTATAAATTTGCTTTGAATTGAAGATTGGCGAGAGCTTCAAAACTTCGTCCAATTGAATTTCCAAAGTTGCAGAGGTCCGTGCTCAAAGGCTACCGAGAATCTACCTAAGATTAGGTACCTGCGCTTGTAGTATATTACCTAAGCAGTACCCAAGCGGTACGTACTGTACTTCATATGTAGATCTTTCGCCAAGGCTAGGGGTCCCGCTGGAACCTTGAAAGTTCCGCTAGGGCGCATAGGTACTGCACGCATACTGCATAAATGGGAACGGCTCAATAGGTACATATTTCGCGGGGTATTACAGTATTTACTCCCAAATCAACTGTAAACGACCCAAGCTTTGAGTCACAAAAGAAGCAAGGAGGTTCAGTTTTATGAGACAATTCGACCATTGAAGCTGAAATATATTCCGTGTAGTTATTCCCTTGAAATTCCCAGCCGTATTGATTTCAATTGGGCTATGAGAATATTTATTCGTCCCAAGATTTTATTCTAATTACCTGGATACCTAGGATAGGTACCTGTCATCTTATAATAACCTCAACTTATACCCAACTTCTAACTTCAACCTACCCCTGCAAGCTAAGACGGGATAATACGAGATACCGAACAGCTTCAAGTCGACTCTAATAACTATGGCAGAGCAGACGCAAAGCTTCGTAGATATCCGGCCGCTACTCCAGCGCTTATGGCCTGACCCGGCTGCGCAGAACGTAACAGCCCACGAGATTGCAGACGCCCTCGCCCTCATTTTCACCAACCAGCTCAGTCCCGTTCAAACCGGCTCGCTGCTTACAGCTCTACACTTCACCGGCTGGGACCGTCGGGCCGATGTCCTCGCCCAGGCTTCCGCTGCTATGCGCCGGCACGCTGCCCAGATCGACTCGGGTGCTCTGAACGAGGTTATTGCAAAGCGGCGGAGGCCCGAAGGTAAATATAACGGCGGGTTGGTAAGTCTTTCCGTGGCTTATACAGGCCACGGTTATTATATTATAGTATATACATAATTGAGGAAGAATGATAGCTAATGTAATAGTTGTAGTGCGACATCGTCGGCACGGGCGGCGACTCTCACAACACCTTCAATATCTCCACCACATCTTCCATCCTCGCCTCCTCTCTCCTCCTCCTCGCCAAGCACGGAAACCGCGCGTCGACGTCGAAATCCGGCTCGGCGGACCTGCTCATGAACATGCAGCCGCAGCCGGCGCAGCTCGACCGCATCAACCCCTCCACCATCGCCGACGTGTACGCGCGCACCAACTACGCCTTCCTCTTCGCGCCCGTCTTCCACCCCGGCATGAGGCACGTCGCCTCCGTGCGCAAGGAGCTCGGCTGGCGCACCATCTTCAACCTCCTCGGCCCGCTGAGCAACCCCCTCGGCGACGCCATCGAGGCCCGCATGCTGGGCGTCGCCCGCGACGACCTGGGCCCCGTGTTCGCCGAGGCCCTGCGCCTCACCGGCGCCAGGAAGGGCCTCGTCGTCTGCGGCAAGGAGCAGCTGGACGAGGTGTCGTGCGCGGGGCCGACGCTCTGCTGGCAGCTCGTGGAGCACGGCACCGGGTCCGTCGACGTCGAGCACTTCACCCTGGAGCCGGCGGACTTCGGGCTGCGCGCGCACTCGCTGAGCGCGGTGTCGCCGGGCCGCGAGCCGCGCGAGAACGCCGCGATCCTGCTGCGCCTGCTGCGCAACGAGCTGCCGCGCGACGACCCGATCCTCGCGTTCGTGCTGATCAACACGGCGGCCTTCCTGGTCGCCGCGGGCGTCTGCGAGGCGGACGAGAGCGCCATGGGCCCTGGCGACGACGGAAAAGTCGTTGCGGAGCGCGGGCCCGGGGGCGGCCGCTGGAAGGAGGGCGTGCGCCGCGCGCGGTGGGCGATAGAGAGCGGCGAGGCGTGGAGGCAGTGGAGCGCTTTTGCCGAGGTTACGAATAGCTTACCTGCGTGAGAAGGTTCTACCGCGTCTGTCTAGATAGTGTCTACCTAACCTAACCTAACCTAACCTAATCTATAGGTTGGCTAATTAGTTAGTAGCATAATTAGGAGCTGGAGCTGGAGCTGGTGGCTATTTTGGGAAGCTCGCACATTCCTCGTTGTCTTTTTCTTTTTCCGTCTCGAGTTGTGTGTGATACCAGAGAAGAAACAAGATGAAAATTATATATATATTAGGTATATATATAGAGAGAGGGGGGGGGCGGGGGGGGGCTACATCGGAAATGGGGCTTGTTTGTTATTGATGTTTACAATGGGATGGATGTGTTATTGGGAAGGATAGAAAAAAACAAACAAGACGAGAGATAGGTCATGGTAACTTGCTAGGGAAAAAACAGGGGGGGTGGGATAAGGAGGACTTCACTTGGCTCGAGAAGAATACCTGCCTCCTATCTTCAATATAAACTCCTTAGGACAACCCCTGCAACTGACTGGTCTATATTACATACATGTGTTCTGCGTGCAATACGCAAGACTTCTATTTCACATGAGATTTCTGATGAAACACTCTGAGCAGCATTCATCAATTGTTAAGACGCTACTTTCTATACAAATACCTAACGGTCCCAATATTCGTGAAACTGCTACCAACACCAAGAAGTCAGATAACCCGAAGGTCTTGATATTCTGGGGGACGTACATAATAGAGCACAATCCAGATATACGACATGCGGGTACAATAATGGGTACTTTTTCAACTCTGGAATATCATGTTTTGCGGTATAACATCGCTCTTGCGTACCATGTCCGCCATTTTCTCTCCCTTTACCTTTGCCTTTGCCTTTACCCTTACCTCTCCCCGCCCACTTGCCTTTGTTTCCTCCATTTGTCCACCAGAACGAGCACCTCTTCCGCCACGGGAACTACCACCTCTCCCCTGATTTCGCTGGGACTCTCGAAGCCCTGAAAATGGCTGCTCCCAGAGATCCTACCTCGACAGAACGCCACGGACGCTCCCCTTAATTATGGTATTGCCCTCGATGACCCGTTCGCCGATACCTGTGTCAGGTCCGCTACCAACCTCGAGCCACCGCTGGAGTAGGTCGTTGCTTTCCTTGGGTTTTACCGTGTCATCGCGTGTCCCGACCGTTATGTGGGGTACCTTATTGACGCAGGTCCATTTCTCCTCTTCATCAAGGATGCGCACAACTATAGCCATGATGCGATCGTCATATACGACGCGCTCTAGCTGGATATTGCACTCCCCTAACTTCCCATCCGGATCCTGATTTTCAGCATGCAGCGACGTGTACTTATTCCATAATTCAGGATGCTGCTTAGCCCCCACGCGGTGCATCAGCGTTACGTGGAATAGAGCCTGGACGCGCCGGGTCTGCTGTAGCTGCCTGTAGAACCGCTGTGTCTCCGGATCTGTGCCTTTGAAGGCAGACTCGAGAGCTACCTTAATATCTTGAGCGTGAACAGAGATAGACATGTATTCTAAAGGCTTCTTCTTTGGGGGTTGTGATTCTTGATTCTTTGTCTGCTGAGCCTGTTTTTTACCTTGTTTCCTGCTTCGGTCGGGGATGATATGCCTCAAGTCGGGCTTGTAATCTTCAATAGCAGCCTTGACAGCCTCGTCTAGCTGTTCGTCGGTAGGGATATTAGGGACTAGCGATGGAAATTTCCGATGTAGCTCCCTGACAACCGTCTCTACATTAGCACGGCTATCCAGCGTAGGATCTAGGTCGACGACCAAGTCAAACCCATCATCAGGACTACGTTCGGGATCGCAAGGCTCAAATCTTTCGATAAAGTTCTCCATGATTCCAATAACCTTTGACTCCTCCGAAGCGGCTTGGATAGTCTGGTGGTTATCTCCACGGTTTAATACGCGTTCCCTAGTCACTTTCCGAATATCGTCAATATTGCCGTGGACGTAATTGAGAGCAACGAGACGTGCTCCATTATGTTGTAGCTTGATGTCTTTAATAATTTGTTCTCGCTCCCGACGCGCCGAATTGTTCCGGTCCGCTATAACGGCAGGATGATCATTGAGAAGCGCCAAAACGGACTGTACCATCTTTACCGGCCGCTGCTTGCCTGTAATATTATCGTTCTGGATAATACCCCAACCAAACAAATGTGTCAGGGCAATACCAACAGTGGTCTTTCCACAGCCGATAGTGGCGATAGGCACGAGGACGACGTCGCGGGAGACGGATGCCAGCTCGTTGCCTTCGGACTCGTTCTCGATATTAGCAGCTTCTGAGCCCTTCATATGCTTAAAGGCCAAGAAATCGTCGCGAAGAGCAATGATTCCATGGTTCTGATTATAGGCTTTCGCCATGTTAGGGTCTGCAGCAAGCCTCTGGCGGGCGTACCCTAGGTATTCTTGGGTAATCTTGACGTGCTTCTTGAATTTCGGGGGCTTGCCTGCGATTAGGGCCTTAGTGCATTCCCGCCACTGCCTGTATAACAAGTATGGCTCCTCGAATTTGAATTTGAAAAACCAATCTCCATATGGTAGCTCGCTAGGATTGGGAGACATTTTGCAACGAATGACGAAACCCTCAACATCTCGACCTTCATGCGCTCCCGACTCTGCAACTGCCTCTAAAAAGGATTTGACAGAGTTAGCATCGTCAAAAGTCTTAAGACTGACTTTGCGGAAACCCCATTCGTCGGCGAACTGTTGGACAAGAGTGCCGGAATAGGTTACGAACTCGGGAACGTTGACGTTAATTCCATGGAGGTACAGGCCGGCCTTGTCAGGGCCGTAAGCAAGGATGTGCTCCTCAAATTCGTCGTCACATAGCTCCGCCACGGCGGTCACATTTCGTTTCCTCAGCTCCTGGGCGAATTCTTGTCGAGTCTTGCCGATAGTAGCGAGCTGTTTGTCAACCCATCGTTCACCCGCGCTGGCGTGGCTCACTTCGACATCGCTACGGTCTCCAGTGGAATGTTTGCTGCAGATAAGCAGGGATCCGTCTTCAAGACCGCTAATAAAGATGATGCAGCCGTTCTCCTTCAGAGTGAGCTCATATGGGCCTTGGGTTTTCGTTAAGATATTATCCCATTTCGTTTCGGTGACCTCGCCAGTGTTGAAAAACTTATCATAACCCCGGATTGCAATCTCATGCTCTCCTTTGCGATTCTTGGTGGTGAAGAGACCCCTAGCATAAGTGGGAAGGTTTCTCTTCTTGTAGTCCCAGTCGTTCAAGCGCCAGGAGTCAACGGTGAAGCCATCAGGCGATCCCTTGACATCAAATGTAGTTTTCTTAGTTTTAATTCTGGACTTATTGCTCAGAGCGGCAACCAGGTTCGCTACCGCTTTGGGGTCTTGGTCACGGTAGGGCACTTGGGGAGTCGCCATGGTTGATTGTTGACGTTGAAGAGTGGTAGAACTAGAGGGTAAACCCGACTTGGGTAATCCGCTAAAATGAGCCTTCTTCCCGTGAAAAACAAGAGAGTGGTATACTCTATGAGATTCTGTGCGTAGAATAAATTTTGGTAGTGGATTCGTGAAGGTAGCGGCACGTGGAGATATGAGACGCCTTGATGATATGAGGTGGTGAGTGTATTTACAATTGTGAGGACGAGGAGGAGGCATTGGCTGCCCGCTACCTAGGTATACCCGGGTTTTTTTAAGTTGCGGGATTGAAGCATAAAATAATGGGTTCAAGGATATTCTTTCCTTTATACTTTTGTTAGGTCCCTGAATTATTAGGTATTGTTATAACAGAATGTCAGATTGTGGTAGCCTTACAAATAGAGTTTGTCGTTGTTGCCCGGCCTGAGTCAAAATGTTAAATCCTTACTATGGTACAAGTACCTAACTTTAGGTACTAAATGAAATTCGTTACCAAATCTTACCTAAGATAACAATGGCAACAAAGGCAGGTATTCTCGGCGTTGAGTCACTACCGTAAACCATATTGACACTGTCAACTAGCGGGGCTTAATATTTTTAGGGGCTCCCCTTACTCTATTTCAACCCCTATAAGGAATAAGTACTGAGCCACCCGATTTTGTATAGAAAGATACAGAAACTCTAATACAAGTATATAAATGCTACCTACCTTCCGTACGCCTGTGACATTTCACACTCAGTCAAGATTCTCCTACTTGAAACCTTCAGCCTATTCGTAACGTTGGTCTCCCCCCCCCCCCAAAAAAAAATGGACTTGCAAGAAAGAATCGACTGGGTACGTCGTCAACGGCTAGTAACCACATCGCCTTCCCCTGTGCCTGCCGAAAGCCTCGTCGAACGGCAACAGAATCCACGGGTGCTTGAGCCCGCCACGCCCTCTGAAACAAACCGACGGCCACATTGGCGATATAGGGACCCTAATAGCATTAAGAGAAAGGCGCCCGAGCTTACTAGGGACCAACGGCTCGAGATACGCGTCTTGAAGAAATATCACCCCGAGTTGACATACATGGACCTTTCAAAATGGACTGGGTATACGTATCACCAAGTCCAGCGAGCACTCACTGGTCCTCTATCACCACGAAAGCGAGGCTACGGGCTCAAAAACATGACAGCTCCGAAGGTACAAACTTCATCGTCTTAAGCTAATTATATATAGGATATCGAGAGTCTTGATAAATAATGAGGTTATTTGTAGAGAGTGGGAGGATTCTTACTAGTGATTTGCTTATATCTTATAATAGCTTCGAAGGTATCTTCTACATGTACCTAGGTACCATTTTATTGTATTTCGTTTTTTCGATGGAGGGGGTTGTTAGGTAGGTAGAACTTAGCGAGGGGATGAGGGGTTGAGAAGCTTAATTCGATTTTACCAACGTGCGTCATACCTTAGCCCACTCTTCAATTTATCAATCCGAATTTTTCATACGGCCTAAAGTATGCGATCTAAAATTCTGGAGTAGCCATCGTACTAAGTAAAGCTCAAGGTTTTCCATTTCTCATACCAATTTATTTGGCTAGCAGTAATCTTTTCCCTTCCTTCTTTTTTTTTTCTCGACAAATTCAACTCCCCAACTATCTAATTCTTCCGGTCGCCATGTCTGCCAACCCGTTCCTGTTAGCTGCCGACAACAGCCCAGATCTACTGCCCCTCCTTCGAGAGAACCCTAGTCGAGCTTCCGAACAAGACTCCCACGGATACTCCCTAGTTCACGCGGCTGCGAGCTACAATCATCTCGATCTCCTCCGCACCTTAATTCGCGAGTTCAATGTCGATGTTAACCTGCGCGACGAAGACGAAGAGACGGCCCTCTTCGTGGTTGAAACAGTCGAAGCTGCTCGCGTCCTAGTTGAGGAGTTGGGAGCTGATGTTTCGATCAAAGGTTCTGATGGATATACTGCTTTCCAGAAGATAGATGAAGAGGGTGAATTTCCAGAGGTTGCTGAGTATCTAAAGACCAAGGAGGAAGCTGGCCATACCCAAACTCTACCGAATGGAGCCAATGGAACGAATGGAACGAATGCGGACACAAACGCTGCGCCACCCGTACCCCAAGGTCTGAACATATCTCTTAGCACAGTCGCACCTACCGATGAGACTGAGCTCGAAGTTGATCCCGAATTTCGAAGGAGGATAGAAGAATTAGCTGGGCGAGACGACTTCAACTCCGACGCTGGCCAAGCTGCACTTAGACAGCTAGTTGAAGATGCCATAGCAGAGCGCAATCTCGCAGATCGCAATGTTCGTTCGAGACAGGATTAGTTAGGTTGGTTGGTTTACCAATTAGGAATGCGATGTGTCTCAATTATGTTTCCTGATATCCCAAAGGAGATACTCCCCAGACGCGTTAGGTGGTCTGAAAATAGTACAGTCGGCGCTGTCTCCGATGATATCTCTCGCGAACGTTGTAGTACTTAGGGAAAACCATGACTTGGCTGGCAGGGCGAGTATCACATCCACCAATGTTTGTCGAGTCCACCTCGGCGGGACAAAGCCTTGCCAGCTAATTCGGCACAGCTTCCCTTCCGAAAGGTCATCGAGATCACCAGGAACGGCGTAACTAGACAGATATGGGTCGATTTTGTCATCCACGTTGATTCGCGGACTATCAAGTCTGACTAGAGACAGCCACTCGTATAAGTCCGTGGCGAATTCATCTAAATCTAACCGACTTTGGTTTGATAAAATAGTGGCTGGAGGTTTGAGCGATGGCATCTTTGCAGAGATATCCTCGGAGATCTTAGGATATGATGTATACTTCACAGGATAGTGCCGCGAGAGAGGATCAGGGACGGGTGCTATGCCACATAGTTATGAGTAATGGCGCAACTAGGCAGGAAATAAATATGCGCAACTCACTCTTCGAAAGATTGTGAAAAAGCCATGTGACAGGCGCGTTGAAGACATTCTTGCATGCGTATGCTAATCTATCAAAACCCTTCTTCCCGTGAAGCATCGAGGGGCTTCGAAGATCGAATTGTACAACTTGAGAGCTTGATTAGCAATCGCAACGAAAATTGATACGTTGATGAACATACTCCATCTCGGCTTGAGGCCTCGTTTACCCTTAACTCCGTGAGGTCTTCCAACAAGCCCAGCTCGCTCATACGTCTCTTTATCGAGATACATAGTGAGCACGCCTAGAATATTCAAAAGATTATTGTCAGTTATACGCATTATATTAATAAGAGTGGATAAATATATAGGCTAGGTATGCATACCTTCTTTTAGAGAAAACACATTCTCGGAATCTATTCTTCCCTCCGAGAGCATCATGATATTGCCTTGTCCTCGTGTTAACCTTGACATCTGTAGAGCGGCAGCAGCAAGAAACTAACTTACCTATCTTGATGTATTCGGTGAAGAAGTCACCCTCTAGGACTTGTCCAAGTTTCATGATGACCTTATAAAATACAGGTGCTCGGCTCGGATCACCTATGAGCTTGTCTTTGACGAGCTGCGTTAGTTCTGCTGGGAGAATTAAATCAACCTGAGCCGCATTAGTAAACGCATTGGATATAATAATTTAGACATAGGTGCTCATACTTTGTAAACGAAGTCTTGCGACAATAACGTGCTCCAGGGTTTTCCCTTCGTTGGTAAGTTTTGGGGGTCGGGATGGCCCATCACTCCGTATGTGACGAAGCATTTTGAAGATTGATGGACGCTCGGCGCAGAGAAAGAAAACATCACGAGCAGAGTATCCTAGGTACGTGATAAGATTCCGGGACTTATAAAATGTAATAGGTGTTGCCCGGAATTTGATGTTGGATATAGGTACCTAAGGTATTAATAAGATATCGAGATAGAAACGCGAACTTTTGAAGTTACTATGTTAGAGGTACTTAACCTACAACGACCCTCCACCGTAAAACTAACAGCAATATTCTTTATAAGATTAGGGCGGTTTAACGAATACTACCTCCAGCAATCCTAAAGACTCAATGGCACTAAAGCGGGCCATGCAGAAATCAATAGTAGCGCCATACCAAGCACTCGGCCATTTTTCTCTTAGAAACACACCCTCTGTTATTATCAACGTTCTTTTTTTATTTTCACTTTTATGAAACCTCTAGGTACAAACGGACTCACTCGTTACATGTTTAGTATTCCTAGCAGTAGGTATCAAACATTATTCCTAACTTCAGATGGAGCAATTTACAAATAATTTCGAAGCAAAAAACATACAACACATCCAAGTTAATCTGCCTGTAGCAACTACGAAACGCTCAAGACTCACAGTTCAAAATGGACTATCTCATTCGTTTCTCTCAGTCTCATGAGAGCTTCCGTTTGCCGGAAATTCAGTCACTCGCTGTTGTTGAGGGTCTTAAGCTGGAAATTATTTCATATAGCGACGAGGTAATAATTTATAGCATATTACCGTAACTGGCTTCCTCAAAGCTCTATGCTCACAAACATTCTCTCTAGTCGCCTTTTTGTATAGTCCGGCTGGAGTCAGAAGAGGCTGCAAAAGCTCTCCTAAGACGTTCGGTCTTGGCACAAACCATCCATGAGCTCTGGGGAGCAGGAGAGACGTATGACGAGCTGCACGCCGCAGTGAAGCGTGACACTGCTCACCTATGGCCTAAATATAAAGATGTCTCGTTTAAGATCAATATAGACGCTTATCAGGGTTCGCGACCGGAAAAGAATAAATTGGCACTTATTAATACCTTCGCCTATCTTCCCTTCGACGGACTGATTCTTCTCAAGTCCCCAGACCAGGAATTTACTATCTTCGAGGAATGGGAGTTTGACTCAGTACCGCGGAACTTGCCTAACCCCTTAAAAGCATACTTCGGTCGTCTCGTAGGCCACAGTATACGAGAGGTAATCAAAACTTACGACCTTAAAAAGAGGGGATATATCAGCACAACTTCCATGGATTCGGAACTGGCATTGATCACTGCCAATATTGCTCTCGCCGCACCGGGAAAAATATTCTATGATCCATTTGTTGGAACTGGCAGTTTTCCTATAGCATGTGCGCATTTTGGCGCCCTTGGCATGGGGAGCGATATAGATGGCCGTAGCGTCAGGGGAGAAGGTGGAAAGAGGAGCTTAAAAGGTAACTTTAAGCAATACGGACTCGAGCACCTGCTCGGTGCCGTCTTCGTCAGCGATTTAACCAACAGTCCCATACGAAGAGCGCGGATACTCGACGGCATCGTCTGCGACCCACCATACGGCGTGAGGGAGGGGCTTAAAGTTCTCGGGTGTAGAGATCCGGAGAAAGACGCCTGGCTTGTAGAAAAGGGGAAGCGGTCGTACCAGTTAGTAGCTCGCCCTAGGAAATCCTGATAGCAATTGCTAACGAAAACTAGGAAGCCGACATTCGTTCCTCCGAAGAGACCGTACAGTTTCACGGCTATGCTAGATGATATACTAGACTTCGCCTCGGATACACTAGTAGACGATGGCCGCTTGTCTTTCTGGATGCCGTCGGCCAATGACGAGGAACAAGAAATTCCTATACCAACACACCCTTGCCTGAGCGTCGTGGCCGTCTGCTCTCAGGTGTTTAATAAATGTAGGCTTACTATATAAGTACCACTTTTTGTGGGTGTTTGGACTGACAAGGTTCCTCAGGGTCGCGAAGATTAATTACTTACCGCCGTCTACGAGATTCGGATGTTGACGTGGCGGCACTGGCGCAGAGGAAGAGGGAAGAACAGGTGAAAGGTCGTACGGCAGATGACCTGAATTCTTTCCGCCGAGCGTATTTTAGGGGGTTCAAACCGGAAGAAGCGAATGCAGATGTCGCGGCCGGGTGAGGATGACCTGTAGAGGGGAACCCATTTGGACGATCTTCTTATACCTCCTTTTTTCTATAAGAAGAAGAAGAAAAAAAAAGGAGAGAAAGTGGATACTTGATATACGGATGATTGGTACCGGGCTGACACGATATGAATCCTTTAAGTACGACGTGATTCGAAAGCCGATTGTGGGGGGTCGAGTACGCGCAATCGAGGTATATTAAAGATGAAGTCCAACTAAGTGAACGAAATATATCAGATCAGATAAGCTTACCTACCTGGTAGGTATTCGAAGATCGATACTCAAAGGTTAGGTACCTGTACAATACAAAAGTTGCCTACCAAAATATCTTAGTGTGTAATTACTGACTTTTCATAGTATATAGCGCTAATCGTAGCTGCAAAGCATTCCCCATTTTTAGGTGTAGGCACCCTAAACAATAGGTCAGGTTCAATAGGATATAGGATATAGGTACCTACCTAACCTAACCTATTGGAATACCTACCTCGGTAAACCGTACCTTAGGTAATAGCACAAGCAGCGCAGTTCCAGTTATACTCAGGTAGATAGGGTATCCACTGCTCCCGCCCAACCCGCTGAGCACAGCTCTTTTTGTATCTTCACGTGGTTATTTAAGTGGAGGTTGGCGGCATACGTGTACCGTGGCATTATAGAACCGAATATGCAGCCACGAGACGCGCCGTGACTTGTTTGGTGAGCCTTAGGTTAGGAGGTACCTTTGGAAGAAAGTTGTAAATTGTAAGTCTAGGTAAGTATTGTACATTGCTGAGAGAAAAGTTGAATTCTAGGACTTTCAAGGGTACCGTCTAATTAAGCTTCTCTACGTAATATTTGGATGACGCCATCGTGTTATTTTAGTCAGTGCTGTCAGAATTATAGATATCCATCCTAGCTGCCTACCTAGGTAGATACTTTGTAAGCTGTCTCCCGTATTCCGACATGCATGGCGTGTTCATCTATGCAGCACATGGCACATGATGTTTAAGACACGCATTAGGCAGGGCTCTAGATAAAGAAAGCCATCGGAAATTGAATGAGCATGAGCATTCCTATTTCCTATTTCCTATTTTCTATTTGACAACATTCCGGATGCAAACTTGGGATAGCCCAAGGTTATGGTTTTGTTAATTGAACATTAACTAACCTATACTTAAGTAGGTACCTAGATGTACTGTATCTGGGTGGTTAGTATTATCGCCTCGCTTCTTTTGACACCTACTGAATACTGTGATTTTCCTATTAGTATTACTTACATATGTACTGTAAGCAGCCACATTGATACACAAGTTTTCTTTAGCCCAATCTAATAATCCATCTTGATAGTCGGGTAATATTCCGTAATATGTAGTTCTCGGCTTCAAGAGGTTGGCTGACGATTGATTAGGTATAGTGTAAGACTGTTCCTGGTTTTCTAGAAAATCCTGTTCGGCTTTATTCCCATCGTACGGTCGAAACCTTATCGGCTCTGCTTATCTCTCTCTTTCTTACATACGCATCCGTACCTAGAGCGAGTACCTAACCGTACCTAACCGTACCTACCTAGGTACCTAGACCTACATAGGAAGCTGGAAGTCCAGGTGCTTCCTGCCCATGTGCTTCCTGTTCCCAAACGCATCAAAGCTTACATATGCGCACTTCATGCGGTGAAGGTTACCAAGACCAAGGGCTATACTACGGGTCTAATAATAGGCTTACCGCCCCTGTCTACCCTAGCTATTGGGTCCTTATTCTTTCCCCACCCCCAGACCTTCAAGGCTATTGCTCCAAGCCTCCAACAACTCACTGTAGCACTACTAGCAACTACGAGCACTACTAGCAGCACTTCTGTAAACTTCCATGCTACCTGCAATCCTGTCACTAACGGCTTTACCTAAAGTTCTTACGACCCTTTTTTCTTTCTTTTGACATTTAGCAACCTCTCTCCCCAATCCTCTTCTTTGCTCGTGCTAACCAACTTTTTTTAAAACCTATTCCATTGAAATCACGAGATACTTCCTTTTTCCTTTCTCATTTTCCTTTTCGGCGCGGCTTCTCAACTTTTCCCATTATTTATTACTTAGCTTATTCTTGCATTAATTTATTTGTACATTTATTTGGTTTCAGTTAATACAGCGCATACCTCAGCGTAAGGCTTCATTGTTCAACCCTTACGCGCAAGCCCTCGCGTTGTCACTCGAGACATCTCACTTTGAAGGGGGAGACAAAGAATCGCCACCCTCACACTCACACGCACACTTACACGCCCATCACCCATCATATATCATCTCACAGCGTCGACAGTATGCCTACACCGTCAAGCAATCCACCTCCGGAACTGCCTCCGAGAACGCATAGTTCATCATGCCCCGATCCCGAAGAAGCACATCGATTTACGGGCAGTAGTTGGCGACCTGAACAAGATGGACTTGAGATGAACATTGATAGTCCAGAAACATCATCAGCCTCTCCTGAACCAGTCAGCGCACCACTTTCCACCAATGCTCAACACGACATTTTAGACTCGCGATCAGCCACAGAATCTCCTGGGCCAGAATTAATGAGTCGCACCGAACCCACACTTTCTCCTGACCGCTCCGGCACTCTCTCCCAGATTACCACGTCAGCTCATAAGCCCACAGACGAGGAACATGATGCATTGGCTAGAAACGACTTCGATGCGCCATCAAGAGTGCAAAGATCTAGTGGCAATTATGATGTTGCAACCTCCATCGGCGCGGACGGTGAGAAGTTAGAATACGGCGCGATGTCGAGTCGGTCGCAGGAAGGGGATATTTATGCGCCATCAATGGGATATGACTACACTAATATTCGAGTAAGTTTGTATGCCCCTTATTTATGTATTTTTGTTAGCGATGATAATACATGATGTATTCCCGTTGCTGAAGCACCATGCATTTGCTAACTCTGCTCAAGATAATACCGACGTCACCCTCGTCCTTCCTACGACCCGGCAGCAAATTCCATGGTACGCAGCAATCGGAACGACAAGTATACGATGTGCAAGTGGAAATCAAGTATATCGATTTGCGGGAGTCATTCCTCTGCGGGTTTCTCAGAATCCAAGGTTCGTCTTTACCAATCCACCAACCCCATTCTCAACCAATCTTCCTCGTTTCATTGGGTTTATATTTTTGTACCAATCGCCGTGATGTGGCGTATCAACCCCCTCAACTTTCCGAACTATAGGACTTGGACTGTATATGCTAATGCAAGGTGCATCCCTTAGGCTTGACGGAAGATAATCCGACACTGACGACGTATTTCGAAGGCGAGATCATCGGCAGCAAGTATGGCTTCATCACGAAGCATGCAGGCTGGGGTGCGACGGACAAGATCGATCTGAGTCACTGGAGCAAGTTCACGGCATTCCGACAATATGCCAAACAAGTACGCAAGGGACCCGTTACCATTCCAAACTTGGCTCAACGGGAAAACATCTTCATGCGTTGGAAGGAACATTTCCTCGTTCCTGACCATCGAGTCCGCACGATCAACGGAGCCAGCTTCGAAGGCTTCTACTATATCTGTTTCAATCAGAAAGAAGGGAGCGTCAGTGGTATATATTTCCACTCAAAGAGCGAGAAGTATGTTTATGTTTTCCTTCTTTTCCCCGTCTTTGTTATATTCAATACCTATCCTGCTTCATATATCCACATACATACCTTACATGTACGCGTTGATATGCATAAAATATCGTGTCTTATCTTGCTTTTGTCCCACATCTATTACCACTCAGGCCACGACCAACAGAGACGTATTATTAAGAGTATTGTTGCTAATATGACTGGTTACCATTGTAGATTCCAACAGTTAGAGCTTAAGCACGTAGAAGACAGAGGGTGCTTTGGCGCTGTGGAGTTTCGATAGCCGTGTGGGATTTGTTTTCTCTTATATGGAATGAACGATTACACAGTTGATGCCCGACAGTGGACGCCAGAATAGCATACGGTACGGCCACTCGCTCGAATAGTAGTAGTAAGTAATTTTTTGGCAAAGCGAAGGAAATCATAGGGAATGGTGTTAGCTGGCATCTCCATTTTCATAAGGCAAATATGGGGGAGTACGGAACTCGATATTGAGCATAGCCCAGCGCAGAGGTCTGGGTCCTGGTCTCGTTCTCCTTTTTAACGGGAGGCATCACATCATGTTCACGACAGACAGGAATAGTGCAGCATTTCACAACTTCGCGGTAAGGGGGTATATTGTTAAGGGGTTCGGAGGGAAATGTCGTACTACTCTATGTATACATAATGATGATCATAAGCTCGCACCTGTGCGCCATATCCGTCTTAGCCCTTCAAGAGATGGGCTTGATCTTAAAATGAAGTGATGTCAAGCTGAATACGAGAGCCTTTAAGTCCTGTACTAGGTAGTAGAATACCCTTAAGCCTTCGGGATCTGCTGATTCCGTCACATCGATTAGGGAACCAATCTTGGCTGTCTGCATTTGGTATTAGCGTTCACTGTTCCACGATAGTATGTCAAGAGAGTGAAGACAAAAAGCAAGTTTACTCGCCTCGAATGATATGTGATCATTGCCCATGCGAATCTCCAACTCCTGCCTGCCATCCTTGTTCTTCTGCGGCCATTTGGCATCGTCTTCCTTCATGATCTCGCTCGACTTGACAATGCGCTTGATCTCATCCACCACTATTGAACTGACGCACACTGTATTCATCGTTAGCCCAATATCTTCTCGCTGCTTCGGGTTGGTTGCCCCGCGGGAGAGAGAAAGAGCAACTCGTTCGTGGAATGTATAATAAGAGATAGGTGCTGACATACTCTCTTTTCGGATCAGACTGTCATTTCGGTAGTTGGAGTTGTTCGCGTATCGAGCTACCGCGCTTCGACCGTCTCCTACTACTCTGAAGTCGAACTCTGCGAGGCTGATCAGCTTCCTCTTCCAACCCACATCGGTGCTTGATTAGGTCACAGATATATATGTATATGTATATATGGGCGAAGGATGGGCGAAGGATGGGCGTGGGAATCGTGGGTAAGCGTACCGAGAAATTCATGACCGAAACGACCCGAGTGGCCTGAACTGTAGAGATCAATTAGCTTCAAGCTTTATTTATTTATTTATTTATTTATGTATTTATTTATGTATTTATTTGCAGCTCGTACTTACTAGTATCGTAGGTAGAATGTCTCACCGGAAGAAGCCATGTCGGTGTTTTTTTTTAATTATGACGGTTGAAAGGTATTAGAGAGTTGTACGAGTATAGAAAGATAAAGGATGTACGGTCTTAGATTTTAACTTTGTAGCTAATGGATTTATTAATGACGGAGGTAACACCCGCGTTCTGAAGGGTGTCGCTATCTTAGGTAACTTTAGCCTTGCTTAATGTTGCGACGAGGCTTCACTGGACGACGGCTTGGCGCGGGCAGGTCTAGAAAGTTTCGGCGGGGCAGGGGGAGGGAAGCTAGGTACGGCAACATGTGCGTGGGGAAGTATATCAGTTACATACCACATGAGTTTAGAGGTACGATGTTTGCGTAAGCCACAAACACGGATCCACCCTTCATGTAGTTGAGGCTGGCACCTGTAAGCTAACCTGCGCTAACCTGCACTTTTGAAACTTCACCTGGCTAATGTTCGGGCAACGGATTATTTAATTCAACTTTGCATAACAACCAATCAGCTTGCCTTATTCACTTTAGAACCCATCCCATTGTGCAGCCATTTCAGGAGGGACAGATTTCTATGTGTAGGTACCTAGGTACTCCCAGCTTTGGACATTTGGATTTTGGGGCCAGCCTGGACGGATTTCAATTCCAATCATCACCAAAACTCCATAACAGCATCACCGCCCGTTCATCTTTCCTCGACCCCAGCAAATTTCAACTGGGATGCATGTTCGCATTGACCTCGTTAAACCACCTCTTTAACTGCTGGGACGGCTCTTTTAATTGTTCAATTCTACTTCAGCCTTGTGTATCTAACGAATCTCACACCATCCCTCGAGCCTTTCGAAGCCGTTATTCTCCCGACACGACCCTCCAATATAATACCTGAACTTGGTCTACCTAACCCAAGATTGATCTGGCCCTCCTCGTTCCGCGTTGGTCTATCTACATACATCCTAATATATCTGTTCGTGTCCACCACGTCGGCGTAAGCCGCAACAATTATTCAACATGGCGACTTTCCTCGAAAACGCATATAGCTTAGTCCACCAGGACAATGCTGCAGATGTCCCATCCATGTCAGATCTGCGCATGCAGCTGGAAAAGGGTACGGATGAGACAAAGGTCGACACCATGAAGCGCATCTTAACTATCATGTTGAATGGAGACCCTATGCCTCAGCTCCTTATGCACATTATCCGATTCGTCATGCCTTCAAAATATAAGCCCTTGAAGAAACTATTATATTTTTACTACGAGATCTGCCCCAAGCTCGACTCCTCCGGCAAACTGAAGCAGGAGATGATTCTTGTTTGGTAAGTGCAGAAAGAAATAGCTATACTTACCTTAGGTTAGGTAGGCATACAGGATTCGCTTGCTGACAGCTTTGGACTTAGCAATGGCATTAGAAATGATCTTCAGCACCCGAACGAATACATCAGGGGAAATACGTTACGATTCCTTTGCAAGCTACGAGAACCAGAGCTTATCGAACCCCTATTATCCTCTGCTCGGGCTTGCCTTGAGCACCGCCACGCCTACGTCCGAAAGAACGCAGTCTTTGCCATCTCTTCCATCTTCTTACATTCACCATCCCTCATCCCGGACGCCTCCGAGCTGATCGCTACTTTCCTCGAGGGAGAGAGCGATGCTACTTGCAAGCGCAATGCTTTCTCTGCTCTGGCTAGCATTGACCACGAGAAGGCCCTAGTATACCTGAGCTCCGTTTTTGAAGGCATTCCGAACGCCGAGGAGTTGTTACAGTTGGTGGAGCTAGAGTTCATTCGAAAAGATGCAGTTCAGAACCCTCAGCACAAGGTAAACTAGCCAAGCCCAGACTTTAAGTTGGTGAGCTTATCCACTAATAATTGTAGGCTCGTTACTTAAGACTCATCTTCGATCTATTGGAGGCCGGAGCTTCGACGGTCGTCTACGAAGCTGCTTCGTCTTTAACAGCGTTAACTAGCAACCCGGTTGCGGTAAAGGCGGCAGCGGCTAAATTTATCGAACTCAGCATAAAGGAAGCCGATAACAATGTGAAACTCATCGTTCTTGATCGGGTTGACCAGCTACGACAGAAGAACGAGGGCGTACTCGACGATCTAGTGATGGAGATTCTACGTGCGCTATCTAGTCCCGACATCGACGTCCGACGAAAGGCCCTCAGCATCGCGCTGGAGATGGTGTCGAGCAAGAATGTGGAAGAGGTCATCTTACTACTCAAGAAGGAGCTGTCTAAGACTGTTGATCAGGAATACGAGAAGAACGCCGAATACCGACAGCTCCTCATCCACTCCATTCACCAATGTGCCATCAAGTTTTCGGAAGTTGCAGCCAGCGTTGTCGATCTACTTATGGACTTCATTGCCGACTTCAGCAATTCCTCCGCTGTCGACGTCATTAGCTTTGTCAAGGAAGTGGTGGAGAAGTTCCCAAAGCTTCGGCCATCTATTGTCTCCCGACTAGTTGAGACTCTCAGCGAAGTGAGAGCAGGCAAAGTTTACCGTGGGATTATCTGGATTATCGGCGAGTATTCTCTGGAAGAGAAAGATATCCGTGATGCCTGGAAGAGTATACGCGCAAGTCTAGGAGAGATACCTATCCTTGCTTCCGAGCAGCGACTATTGGACAATGTAGACGGCGATGAAGAGAAGGAAAAGGAGCAGGTTAACGGTCACTCCAAGTCGGCAGCACCGTCAGGCTCGAGAAGAGTCCTTGCCGACGGCACGTACGCTACTGAGACAGCCCTTACTAGCAGCTCGGCAGCGGCCGCCAAACTAGAAGCTGTCAAGGCTGCTCAGAAGCCTCCACTACGCCAGCTCATCCTCGAAGGCGACTATTACCTGGCTGCTGTTCTTTCGGCAACCCTTACCAAGCTGGTCATGCGGCATTCCGAGATCTCTTCGGACAAGGCCCGAACGAACGCCCTCAGGGCCGAAGCTATGCTGATTATGATTTCTATCATTCGCGTCGGTCAGTCGCAATTCGTCAAGGCTCCCATCGACGAAGATTCCGTTGACAGGATAATGTCCTGTGTTCGGTCGTTGGCGGAGTTCTCCGAGAGGAAAGAATTGGAAACAGTATTCCTCGACGATACGCGGAAGGCTTTCCGTGCTATGGTCCAAGTCGAAGAAAAGAAGCGGGCGGCAAAGGCTGCTTTCGAAAAGGCCAAGACTGCTGTTCAAGTTGACGACGTCGTTCAGATTAGACAGCTATCTAAGAAGAACGTAGCAGACGGTGCTGACGAGATCGAGCTTGACCTCGAGAGGGCTACTGGTGGAGAGGCCGTATCAGAAGACCTTACATCGAAACTAAGCCGCGTCGTTCAGCTTACCGGTTTCTCCGATCCTGTATACGCCGAGGCATATGTTAACGTACATCAGTTCGACATTGTCTTGGATGTTCTTCTGGTCAACCAAACGACCGAGACGCTCCAGAATCTGTCTGTTGAGTTCGCTACTCTAGGTGACCTCAAGGTTGTCGAACGACCCACTACGCAGAACCTTGGCCCGCACGACTTCCATAATGTGCAGTGTACTATTAAAGTCTCATCGACAGATACGGGAGTCATATTTGGTAACGTGGTGTACGACGGAGCCCACAGCACCGACACCAATGTTGTTATTCTCAATGACCTGCACGTCGACATCATGGACTACATCCAGCCCGCCACATGTACCGAGACTCAGTTCCGCACGATGTGGACGGAATTCGAGTGGGAGAACAAGGTCAACATCAACAGCAAGGCCAAGAGCCTCCGCGAATTCCTGGAGCAACTAATGGCTTGCACGAATATGAACTGCCTAACGCCGGAAGCCAGCATGAAGGGCGATTGTCAATTCCTGAGCGCCAACCTATATGCCAAGAGCGTATTTGGTAAGTCTTTACTATCAGCTAGTCATGATTTATTAGTTGGTTACCAACTACTAACGATTTGCAGGCGAGGATGCTCTGGCAAACTTGAGTATCGAAAAGGAAGGCGAAGATGGGCCAATCACAGGTTTCGTCCGCATAAGAAGCAGATCACAAGGACTGGCCCTAAGCCTGGGTTCCCTCAAGGGCCTGAACAAGATCGGTACGGCGGCTGCTTGATGAGGCAGGAATTTTTAGGAGTATATAATTTTCAGCGCAGTCCAATTCCCGTCTCGAAACGGTAAACTCGCAGGTAGTCGTTAATGACCTGACGAAGGGGGGGCGGCTTTTGGGAGGCTAAAACGATAGAGAGTAATGATATCCAAGATGAGATTCTGATGTCGTAAGTGGAACGAATTGCTCGTGTCGAGATAGCACGGACCAAAAAGCAAAACAAAAATCGAGGTGCTGGAAGACCTCGGGCTATGAATTAGACAAATGCGAATTATTCTTTTACGAATCACGTATCGCTTTGAGTATCGAGTTCTATAGCGTCTTAGATATGCAGTACTATGCGAGCCCGGGATTAATTGGTACCTCTCATCCTACGTAGTGATAGGTTAGATACCTACCTCGTTGGGTATCTATTATTTACAATCCTGATATTACTTACCTTACTTACTTGCTGCATCTCGGCATCGTCTGTGCTGTTTGCTTCAAGTGATATTGGTGCCACGAAGCTTACGACCGTAAGTACCTCAGGTAAGGTAAGCTACCCGGCACCGACCACCAGATATAAAGGAGGCATAAAATGTAGATCGACACAGGTTTGCCAAGTATGTACCTCATGTATATCGCTCGTACTGTGTTGTGCCAACCACGACCAAGGTTCCATTGCGTTGTGGAACCTCGACTGGCGGTCTTTTAAAACGGTCGCTTGCTGCTTGTCAAACGACCAAGCCCTTCATCGACGGGCTTGGATAGATACCTGATAGGTGCATTGATAACTGCCAAGGTATACATATACGTGTGTTACTAGACTGACGCTTGTGGCATCCGGATTAGGAAGAATGCTTCCATCGCGAAGCTAACCTACCTAACTAACGGTCTGGGGGAGGGGACATGTAATGTACAAGTGGCCAATCGCTCAGCTCGGCACATGCATATAGACCTAGTGGCTTATTACTCGAGTTGGGAACGGGCGTCTCGTCTCGTCACTTGCAGGACGGGATAGGTATGTCGTTATTAGACGTGAGGTGAGTGAGATCTGGCTGGTAGGGGGTGTAGATGATAGGGGGGTATAGGAAATATTGATGACTGGTATATGGATATGGATATGAATATGAATACAATGCTGCCGTGTTTCAACCCAGGATGCACAACCAATGTCATACGTCTAGCGGTTCGGGATTTCTATTTTCGAGCTAACCAAGTTCAAAACATGTTTCTTTAGAAGATCTCGAGAGATATCTAGTGTTTTATCTGTTTCGTCTCGTTAAAAGCAAGCGTATGATCAACTGCCGGGTTATGTTTATATTACCTAGTATGGATTTGAAGTCGGCCGAGGCTTCAGGGGGAAACCATCTAAACGGAGTAGGTGAATAGTCCATAAAAAAAATAAAAAGGCCTAAAACCTCGGCCTGTCCCGGTAAGGCGGCACCCCCCTAGTCCTTGTTAGACTTGTGTCGAGTTTATTCTCCATTCCCCCCTTAAACCATAACAAAAACTTTAACCACGATATTCCCAAATCATCTACCGCATAATCTAATATATTTGTATTTTTTGTTACATAGCGTGGTTTTATCACTTTGGAGAAGAAGGTATAAAATGCTTGTGATGACCCCACGATCACACGACATTGCATATGCGCCTCGTTAATCCTCTCCCCGCTTTCCCTTACCCTTCGCCTCCCCCCCATGTTCCATCTTTCGATCTACCCGCCCTACTACGTACTTCTAATACCCTCTTAATATCTAGAGTTAAAAAAAAGTGGTCTAGCCCATATATTTCATGCGTCACATCGACCCATCTCGGCTCATACCCGTACCATTTCGCTCGCGCTGTCCTTTCGAATCTGACGGTACAATCAGCGAAAAAGGCATGATTTTGGGTACCGGCACCAGAAGCCTCTTCTGGTTGAAGCCCGGTTAAGATCGCTGGCACCTCAGGAGACGCAGCATATCTTGGAGTATTTATACCGGGTGTAAAACCCATCTGTGCCTGCCAAGGAACTGAGCCTAAGTTATTCCTATATTTCATCCGTAGCTGCTTCTGTGTTGCCTCTATTTTAGAATTTATATATATTAAAGTTGTCCTGTTCCTTTCTAAGTTAGGCGGAGCTTTTGTCACTACCTGATCAACTCCCATCCCAACTCCAACTCCAACTTCGTCTCGTCGAAACGGTAATACTACCTACCTACCTACCTAGGTACCTACTTTAAAGTAAACCCGTCTCGATAAACCTATATCCTACCCACCTGTTACTCGTCTGCTCTTGTGTGCTCTTGTCTTCGATCCCGTAGGTGCCCTGCAGCGCTTCCGAATAGCATACCATATCAAAATGCCTGCCAACTTCAACGCACCACGACCTTTCTCGGCCGCGTCGCCTGTCTACCCGCACTACCTCCCAGCTCTACACAAGTCAGGACGTGTCGAGAGGACGATGTAAGTACAAGCAAACCCTATCATCACACGTCGATATGTGTTAACAATAACCTCTAGTGCTACTGCAACAATCGCAGCCGTAGGAATTGGTTAGTATACCTACCTACCTACCTATTATAACATCCAACCCCATGGTTGACACCGGCTAACACTTAACACCCCTTCCCCCCTCGGTAAAGGATACGGCCTAGCAAAATACAAAGCCGTCAAGTCCGAGAAGTGGCAGCAGGAACACCACGTCCAACAGGAACAGCTGTTCCGCAGCGCCGAGGCCATCCCGGCCACTGTACCGATACCCGTGCCCACGGCGGAGGCGCGCCGAAATGAGGCTCTGGAGAAGGCGTACGGCGAACGTTCGAGCCTTAGCGAACTCGAAGCTGCCGTCGCGGCATATGAGTCGCGGCGGAAGGACTAATAAATAAACACACTCACTATATGCGCGCGCGCGTGTTTGTTTTTTTGGTCTCGGGTATTTGGGGGGAGGGGGTATGAGAGAATATTCTCTCCCTTCGGCGTATATCATCATCATTATCAACTCTACGAGTACGATTAGCGGGCGTCTGGGCAGGTTATATCAGGTTCTATGCTATTGAGTTCTACGACGGAGTTTCGGAGGTCGCAAAAAGAAAGACATGAGCTATTATCGGCTTGTAAGGTCGAAGTTTTTTTTGTCGCAAAAAGCAGGGTTATTATTATATACATAGGTATCCCCTATGAGGCTCGCCTTGAGCTGGCGCCTTTGGCGTTCATGTCGTAGGCTGCGATCGGTAGTAATTCACCTACAACGTTCTACTACGCTTTTTTTTGTCTTGTGCGCTTTGAGTCCAAGACGACAGGTTGGATATTAAGTACAAGTAACCTAATGTGCTTAATAACTCCTGCAATGCAAGTTTCCAAGATGTGGAAGTATGTAAGTAAGTGGATAGTGTGTCAACTATCAACCAACCATATGATGATGCTTTCATGATCCATACCCTAGCATGTACCTCTTCTAGAAGATGGCCCGAATAAGCCGTCTTGAGGTAAATCCTGGGACCTGGCTGCTAGGTCAATAGAACTTCAAACGTGACATTAAACCGTTACCCAAAATACAATATGAAGGGGATATACATTACTCATTCCAAATGAGATTCATACGTTGAGGCGTAATCCAAAATTGAAATCACCGCACGACCTTTATTATTTGTCCAAGTTTTAACGGGCCGAGTAATTTGGGCTTAAAACTCACCTTGACTGAAGGAGATATTCCCATTCGCAGGACAGGAATCCGTGATTAATAACCATTGACTCTTACGAACTCATCTAATCTTTCTTTTCCGACTTCGCTCTCGTTTATTTCCGTGTTATATATATCTAATTCACTCATTCTCAACAACGTTCCAACTTTAGATGAGAACCAGGTAACTACCTAAGACAAAGTATCACCACTATGGCTGAGAACGAGCCCACCAAGAAGTATCGCGGCAACTGCCATTGCACCACATACGTTTTCGAAGTCGAGCTTCCGGAGAACATCAAAACCGGGCTGCAGGCTAATTGCAGCTACTCTTACAAAAAGGGTGGCATTTATCTAAGCCCGAACGATAGCGACGACATCGAATTCGTCAAAGGCGACCCGGCTACGTTGTCGAACTATACCTTTGGTGGTGTGAAATACCAGGTAAGTTATAGAGCGTGGAAGGATTTTCAAGAGGAGAAATATATAAAGTAAGGAGCTTCCTAACTGCTAACACTTTGTTCGTAGTTCTGTCCGACATGCAGCGTTCTGCTGTTCCGTATCGACACAAAAATATACGTGAATGCAAGTTTATATATATCAAATCCGCTTCGAATCTCTTAATACCTACCTAAACATGGCGCTTCCTATTAATGCAGCTTTAGATACGAGTGCTCCAGCAGATTAAAATATGGGATATAGACACAAAACCGTTAGTTAATAATCCAACTCTAGCCCCCCCAAGAGATAACAGGAGAAGAAAAAACATAGTTAAGACTACCTAAACTAGCTAACACGCATCATCTTTTCCCCCTCGGTCAGCCTTGACGAAGAAGCGACGCCACCGCCCTGGACTCCACCCGAGTTCACCGGTCCGGAGCCTCCGGCCGAAATCGAGGGCGCGAGGATATACACGGGGAGCTGTCACTGCGGGGCCGTCACGCTGGCTGTGAAGTCGAAGCCTATCGACGGCACGTACGACGGCCTCGTTATAGAATGCGACTGCAGCATCTGTACCCGCGTAAGTTGCCTTTTCTTAGGTACCTGCTCTTCACCTTTGATTTATTGTAGCATCACTTCCACTCAACATACCTAAGTCAAATCTTCTCTCTCTCTCTCTCGCAGACTTATCCACAAATCATCATCATCATCATCACACAACTACTAACCTCTTCTCCCCTCCCCTCCCCCCTCCTTTCTCCCAGGGGGAGGGGTCTCTCCAGAACGCCTACTGCTGGATCTACCCGTCCAAAGCGCAAGTCTGCATCGTGGCTACAACCTCGGAAGGGACGGGGATGGGGTACTACTCATTCGGGGGCGGGGTGTGGCGCAAGTCGTTCTGCCGGACGTGCGGGGTGTCCCTGCACAACCGGATCGAGGACTACACGCCGGAGCGGATCGAGCGGGAGCTGCCCGCCGAGCAGCGCCGGTGGGCGCGCGACCACCTCGACTGGTCGCCCGTCAACCTGCGCGTGCTGGACGGCGTCGACATCGCCGCGCTGGGGATCACGCGGGTCGAGGGGTCGGCGAGGTCTGGGCCGCCGAAGCCGGGTGGGTATGTGGATCCGTGAGAGCGTCTGGGGGGTAGGAGGTAGGGGGTTAGGTGTGTGTGTTTTGAGAGGGGTGGTATTTTGAATATGGTTGGTGTAGGAGGTGTGCTAGAATAGGATACACCTTGATGAGAGAGGTCTGTAGGTAGGTATCTTCTCTATGGTGTATATTAATTAAGCACGGCATAATAGTCTTACGACTATTACGTTTAATATATGACACCTAGGTCATTATGTAGGAAGGTCCTCTCTCATATAATACTCTTGACTCTCAGCGCGTAATGTTGATATATCCTCAAGAGAACAATCTCGCTTATCTTACAATACCTTTTGAATTAAGATCATTGGGATATAGGTAATGTATTAATCTTATATAACCAGAATTCGCCTTGACAACGCGAATTACCAAAACGACTTCAGCGTGGAGCTTTTATTGGCAAGCTGGGGAAACGTGTGATTCGTCAAAAGCTGAGTCTTTAGGTCGGATTAGGCAAGTCTTAGAGTTCCGTACCAAGCTAGGTACCTCTTAGGTACGGGAAATATGTACGTAAGTACTACCTATACCCCTTTATAGAGAATCGAGATGATAGGTGGTGCCTGGTAACAGTGGAGTACCTAAGGAGGGGTAACTGATACCCCGCCACCTACTACAGTCTAACAAGCTGGAACTACCTAACAGATAGATTTCGAACTGCTTTATTTTACATCGTGTAGGTACAACTGGATTTGGACGAAACTCTTATCGAATTCTTACGGGGAAATGTGGACTATCCCTGCCACCCTGCGTCATATCCCACGCCTTGACAACTTATCAAGCCGTTGTTTTTTTGGTCACCCTTTTGTCTCGCGGGAAGATGGAAGTAGCTAGAAAACCAGGGCCCTTCTCTTATTTATTAGCTGGGAAACATACATACCTTAGGTTAGGTATCCAGGAACCTAGTTCCAAACACTGTCACATACAAATAAATACTAAGACACATCTCTCAAACCACAACTTGTTCTATACAATACACTCTTTGTCCTCTAAATCCATCTAACTAGAATCTAACTAGAATCTATCCAAATCTCTAAACGGGAGCTAAACGGCACAATGGCAGACCTCAAAACCACCGCGTAAGTATACTATATAACCCGCTTTATGTCTCGGATAAAAGAAGCACATCCTAACTTAAGCATAACTATGCTATTAGTAAGACCTACACTCTCGCCTCGGGAGACAAGATGCCCGCCATCGGTCTAGGAACATGGCAGTCTCCCAAGAACGAGACCGCTAAGGCCGTGAAGCACGCGCTCTCTGTTGGATATCGTTATATCGACACCGCCTATGCGTACGGTAACGAGTCCGAGGTGGGCGAGGGAATCCGCGCTTCCGGCGTGCCTCGCGAGCAGATCTGGGTCACTACTAAGCTCGACAACCCCTGGCACAAGCGCGTTGCCGAGGGTATCGACGCCTCCTTGAAGAACCTTGGTCTTGACTATGTCGACCTCTACCTCATGCACTGGCCCTCCTCCACCCGCCCCGACGATCTTAAGAAGCACTACGACGACTGGAACTTCATCGACACCTGGCGCGAGATGCAGAAGCTGCTCGGTACCGGTAAGGTTCGCAACATTGGCGTTTCCAACTTTGGTATCACCAACCTCGAGAAGTTGTTGAATGATCCCTCTTGCAAGGTAATAACCTATCCCCCTTTGTTTACAAATGAAATATGGCAACTAACCAAAGCTATAGGTTAAGCCCGCAGTTAACCAGATCGAACTCCACCCCAACAACCCCTCGCCGAAGCTGGTCGCCTACTGCAAGGAGAAGGGCATCCACCGCACCGGCTACTCGTGCCTGGGAAGCACCAACTCGCCCCTATACAAGGACCAGACCCTCCTGTCCATCGCCGAGAAGAAGGGCAAGACCCCGCAGCAGGTCCTTCTGCAATGGGGTATCCAGAACGGCTGGGACGTCATCCCCAAGTCGGTCACGCCCGAGCGAATCGAGTCCAACTTCGCCCTTGACGGGTGGGAGCTCACGGAGGAGGAGATGAGCAAGCTTAACAACCTTCCCGACCGCTTCAAGGTCTGCGGCGACGACTGGCTGCCGATCAAGGTTTTCTTCGGCGACGACGAGTGATGTTTCTTTGTTGTGTGCGTGTTTTATTTCTCTGAAAATTTAACAGTCTTGATAGACTACGACTCGGGTTAGAAGAAGCCTGGCGCATTTAGATGATGAAATGGACAAATAGATAGGTAGATTAGATAGATGTCAATTTAATAATGAAGCAAAAACAATCCAAATCTCACCATGTTAATTCGATTATTCTTTGACCGAGAATAAGACAGGACGTGTTGTGATGAAAAAAACAAGCAAACAAAAATCGTAGGTAAACTTAGGTACCTACCTAAACTATTATTATAACTTCCCCTTCCCAGCCTCCATCTCCAACACCTCAGCCACGCACCTCCTAACCTCCTCCGCGAGCGCGGCGGCCTCGTCGTCGTCGAGCTCCTCGCGCGCGCCGCGGCCGAACATGGTGAAGCTCTCGCGGGCGCGGCCGGCGGCGCGGATCTCGGGGCGCGGGATGAGGTGGTAGTGGACGTGGCGGACGACCTGGGCGGCGGCGGCGCCGTTGTTCTGGACGACGTTCCAGTCGGGGACGGCGGTGGCGCGGACCAGGGCCGCGGACAGCAGCCGCAGGGCGGCGCCGAGCTCGGCGGCCTCGCGCGCCGTCACGTCCGTCAGCGTGCCGCGGTGCGCGCGCGGGCACAGGAGCAGGTGCCCCCGGGACAGGGGCATGATGTCTAGGAAGGCGACGAGGGTGGGGGTCGAGTGGACGACGAAGGCTTGGGGCGCGAGCTTGGCGGGGTCGAGGGTCGGGGAGGAGGAGGGAGGAGGGGAGGAGGGTGGGAATGGGGGGTAGGAGTGGGCGATGGAGCAGAAGGGGCAGGATTCGGTAGAGGAGGAGGAGGTGGTGGTGGTGCCGGGGTCGAATGGTGGTGGTGTTACTTTGGGTTGATGCTCTTGTTGCTCTTGTTGTTGCTGTCCTTCTTCTCCTTCAGCCATTGGGTTTGGTTTTGAATGTGTAAAAAATATATATATCTTCAAGTTTGAGATCGCTGGCCGTAATACTTAGAAAACGAGATAACGAGCGGAACTGTGGAAATGCTGGTTTCAAGAAAGTCGCTCTACGCCAACGAAAGGACAATCAGAGAATATGTTAGGAGGTAGGTACGGAGAACATAAATTCAAATGGCAAAGAATGGCGGGTTAATGGAGGCAAAAATGCAAAATGGGAGGCTCGCCGCGCGGTTTCGAGAAAATACCTTAGGTACGTAAATAAATAAATAATTGAGACTCGAGAGTTTGATGCCGAGGTTGTCTGGGTTGGACTTTGACGTATTGATCTTGGCTTTAGTGTTAGGTATGCACAATTATAGTACATAGGTCCCGGTGTAGGTAACGCCCATTTCCCAGCCGCCCCACAGATAGCCGTCCTTCGGTTTATGCAATTTTCTCCGAATGTCACTAACCAAATTAAAGATTCTGCCGCTTTTTCATCTTTTGACCGTCTTTTTTTGTCCGTTGAATCGCTAGTGAAGTGAATCGATTGCGGACAATCCATCCATTCAACATTCAACATCCAAAAAAACACATTAAACCCATCTCGATTCTTCTTCCATCATCACCACCTCCCTATCAACCAACCCGCCAAATCCAAGAACCCCAAACAAACAAACAAAGAAACAAAAAAAATGTCGGCGCGCGAAGCCTACCAAATCCCCTCGTCCGCCACCGCGGGCCCTTCCGGCGCCGCAGCCTCAGGCGGCACCGCGGCCCGGAGCAGCGCGTTCGACGTGGACGGCGGCGGCGCGAGCATCCACTACATCTGCGGCGACTGCGGCACCAAGTTCCCGCTGAAGCGCAACGACCCCATCCGCTGCAAGGAGTGCGGGTGCCGCGTGCTGTACAAGGAGCGCACCAAGAGGTTAGTTGGTCCTTTATTATTCTCTCTTCTTCCTTTCTTTGTTACTACTACATCCTATGATGTTTTTTTTTTTTTTTTTTTTTTTTTTTACTAATGCGCACGGAATTACAGAATGGTGCAGTTCGAGGCGCGGTAGCGAATCGCGCAGAACAACGGGACGAAAAAATAGAATGCGACGAGAATTAGATTCGATACAATACGATACGTACGATACGATACGCTTCCATCCTTAATAGCGAGCTCTGGTTATCCGGCATCATGGGCAGGTTATCCAGAACTCCCCATAAAGTTTCCTTATTAGTAGGCGCCGATACCATGTTATCTGTGCGAGAGCAGGATGTTATTCTCGTGGATTCGGTGGGATGTTAAGAAGCTGTCTACGTCGCTGTAGCATATACTTTGGAGTTTGGGTGTTGACTTCTTCTTGTTTTTTTTCCTTAGGGGCACAGAAGTATTCAGGTCTCAAGATAAAATCATGCAAATCAGAAATTTGGTATCATTACACGCCCCATCTATGCCTTCATATGCCGTCGTAACTCCCTAGACCCCGAAGCCTTTTTTTTACCCTATCGTATGTATGTGTATAGTAACCTTATAGTTGAGACAAGATCCTCCTTTTTATCCTCTCCTTTGCGTGTGTAAGTACTTGGCAAAGCTGGCATCATCCATGACCGAATCAGCATTTGCCCCCGTCGCCGCCTCATACCTAGCCTGTAATCCCTCGCGGTCATTTTCGTCATCCACGTCGTCGTCATAGTCCTCCGCATCTTGATCGTCGCTCTCGTCCTGCATATCCTCATCCTCGTCTGCTTTGGGCGGCTTCACGGACGTATCCCTCGTGCTGTTGCTCCCCATAGACATACCCTTCATCATCTTGTCCAGCTCCTTCTCACGCGCCTTTTGTCTTTGATCCTCGCGCTCCTGGCGCTTGCGCTCGAGCTCGGGGCGGTAGTCCTTCTTGAACTCCTCCGCCTTTTCCCTTACGGCCGCGAAGAAGTCGTCGATGCCGGCTCCCGTCATGGACGAGACTCCCACGACGCTCAGGTGGGCGTAGAATTCCTCCAGCATCATACTCATCGAGTTTAGCAAGCTACTCATATAGCCGCTTCCCGCGCCCTCGCCCTCGACTCCGCCGAACGCGTTGGCAGCCTCGTCGCTCGATAGCGCGGCTTGGAAGGCGTCGTAGTCCGTCATCCACTCTTTGGCGAAGTCTGCATCCTTGACGTCTGTCTTGTTGAATACCAGGATCATCGGGAGTTTAGTCTTGTACAAGATCGAGCACGCGTACAGCATGTTGCTCATAAACGTGCTGGTCGAGGCGGTCCTGGGCGTATCGATAATGTATGCGATAACAGTCGGGAACGTGGAAGCGAGCGACTCGAGAAGAATCTGACCCGAAGCAGACCAGACAAACACTTCGATCTGACCGGCTATAGAGGAGGGGAGACATCAATCAGCAGTTGTGCAAATTAACAGATCTTCAAGCGGACATACGCGTATCTACAAGGATATTCTTGATAAGTTTCTTGCTTGGGTTTGCCGGGTCGGGAGCGGTGCGATTTTCAAGCAGCTTCAAGATCTGGTCGACCTTTGTGGAGAAGAGGTTAAGAGAGGTCAGGATACCGCCGTTGGGTCCGAGGTTATACTGCTTCATGACTTCCTTGTAGTTGACCGAGTCGCGAATATCGATGTTGCTCTCGAAGGGGACGTTAAGCACAGCCGGGTCGAGGTTGATCACGTAGGGCGGATCTCGCTGACCGTGCAGATGCGCGTTGATGCGCTGCATGAAAGTCGTCTTTCCGGATCCGGCCATGCCGACACATACGATGGCGACGGGCTCTGAGGAGGCTGCCGGTGTTGCTGCTGTCGTTGAAGATGCGGTAGCGGCGGCCGAGGTTGACTCGTCGGTCGTAGAAGTGGATGCCATTATCGTCGCGTATTCTTTTAAGCTTATGATAAATTGGGAGAATGATGATGATAATAATAATGAGGGGAAAGGATATGAATCAAATTAGTTAAATGGGATGAGGAACTTGTAACCAAGTGATTTAGGTACTTATCATAGGAGGTACCTAGTAGGGAAAATGTTTATAAGTTACGACCGTCACACCAGTACACCTAATGATTCAGAATTTCGTAGTTGATGATTGCGGGGTGGCGGGGCAGATATTAGAATACCTAGCTCTAGCTCTAACGTCCTGATGTCCTAGCGTCCTTGAAGTTATCGATAGGTTGGGGGATCTACAAGGTTCTATGGGTTATTTACATCTCGTTATATGCATAGGTACATTGCATACCTCCTTTCATAATACCTACCTTTTGTTAACTAACAGCATCGAGAGGACTTACAACATGCTTCGAATAGTTGCAAGAAACATATCACATATCACGTAACAACACAATACAACACAAGTTATCTGAGGTGGCCGAATCTCTCATTTATCTCATCCCAATGAGGGTTCTGAGCTGTGATAACTACCTAATCCACTAGGGACAGGGGGTGGCATTTTCCTTTTTGTCATTCTTTTTTTTTTATATATTTATCCTGTGCTAGTCCTCAAGACTAGATGGATCTTGTCATGCCAGCAGCTCTTCGTCATGTTGTGCTAGCGGAACCATTGCAGCTTCAGGCTTCGACATCATACATTCTCCCCAGGATCCTTTGTCACGCCCATATTTCTCTCTCCCTCTCTCTCCGGTAGTGGAGGTCCAGGGATAGTATAGTATGTATGGGCGATTGCATGTATGTGTGTTGTGTTGTGTTTTCCTCCCTTTCCTTGCCTGAAAATATAGGAGATGGAGGGCGGCGAAGAGGCGCGCCAACCTGTGGTGCGTGTTTTTCCACTTTGTCCCTCTCGGCTGCTCTTTGTGAATTTTTTTGAATTCCCCAAACGAAATTTGACAATCTGGTTGAGTTGCGATGGTATCAGTTGCGCCCCGTTGTTCTGTGTTTGTGTTTGTGTGTTCTCGTTGTGGAAAATGGAAAAAGCAGCGCTGTAAAAAAGAACAAATCCGCAAAGTGTGTTGCCGCAAACCTTTCCCCTTTCCCCATCTCTAAACCGTCATTACATCGTTTCTTTCTTTTTTTTTTTCTCTTGACCTTCGCTCAGCGAATAGGCTGAAACAAGTTGATTGAAAGTAATCCCTAACGCCTGGTTCAAAGACAGATCAAGACCAAGGGGGGATGTTGGTGAGTATTGAATATTGAGTTGGGAATGTGTGTGTGTGTTTCTTTGGATCATCAGAAATAGAAAAGTCACAAGTGATGAAAACATGAACAAACCGTGTTGCGTTCATACCCTCCTTACCTCTCCCCGATAATAATAAAAGCAAAACTTCATCAAAAATGGTCGGCCAACCTCGATGAGAAGTGGAGTTATGGGTGTTCTCCCAAATGATGTTCCAATCTGATGATAATATATCTGGGAGAGATTTGAGTTGAGGGAAGAAAGCAAAGACAAGGAAAAGCAGAATCATTCAAACTCCGTGACTGTTCGTTTCCCTTTCCAAATATCAAGACACGTTCCAACGCCCATGTTTCCCCCCAAAGAGACCTAATGTTTAGTTGATGGGTGTATGTTGTAAGTGCAATTCCGAGAGCTCCTCAAATCGTCTTAGGCGTTCGAGCGTTGCTCATATCGACGATGTCGTCTAGATGGTTGCACATGGCCACGAATAGGTCAAAGAAAAGTTTGCCGCCCCGTTCCATCTCCATCTGCATGGTTCCGCTCCTCTTAAATGTCTTGCGACATCGGATGATTAGGGCGAGATAGTGAGCGCGTAGTCGCGAGTCCGTGTCCGGCGTGTTGTCGTAGGCGTACTGCGCCGATCGAAGGATCGTTCCGACATCAATGCCGCTCTGTAGGCCTTGCTTCCGAAGAGCAAGGCGCTTGAGCTCCTCGAGTCCGTATCTATCGGCGGCGCAGTACACGACGGTATCCCGCAAGAGATGTTGTCCCACGCTGGAGACATGCATTGTGGCCTCGACAGCTCCGCGGCCAGCTCGGTTGTTTTCTGAAGGGTCGGATGATCTCACGGCGTCCTCAAGCTCCCAAGAGTTTCGGTGCTTGTTCTGTACCAAGCGTGGGTAGTAGTCACCCTTATAGAGGTACTCGAGTACGGCGGAGAAGATCTCGGGTTCTTCGTCCGGAAGCGAAATTCTCTTGTTCTGCGCCTCGAGGTACTGGTCCCGGCACACCCGTTCGAAAAAGGGCGACTGGCATAGGACCTCCTCGTGGGCTGCGAACAGCCGTGCTTCTCTTCCAACGGTCAGTGTGACGATGGGAAAGTTAAGGGTTCTCTTGGCAGGGAGAATCTCCTCGATAGACCGTTGTAGTTTCGCCAACTGTTGAGGATCCCGAACCGTATTGTTATTGTTGTTGCTGCTACTGGACTTCTTCAGCCTCGCCGACTTGTCGACTCGGTCCTTGGACCGGAACGAGCGCTTGAACATTGTGGCGGTAGTTGATTGGAATAGCGAAAGAAATGGAGACAGCGTGACGGTGATATCAGTTGTTTATTGTTCTGGTTCGGGATAATAAGGAAGGGAGGGATTTATTAAGATATTCCCCTCTTCCGAGTATAAATTGGCTAGAGAGCGACGAAAAAAAGGAGTGTATGTAGAGAAATTTCGAATTTCCTTGGACTTGAAGAATGAGGGAGTTGGTGAGAAGTTGACACACAAAAAAAAAAAAGGAAAGGATTGACAGGGGTCCGGGAGGTCTATCCCAGAGTCGATTCGAAAAAAGATGAACGAATGTATCTGGAGATATTCCCTGGGGTAAATTTGCGACCCTTATCTTATGGTTGTGGTGGGGGAGGGGGAACAAAAAGGAAAAGAGGAGTAGAAATGGAGGGGGGGAGTTGGCGATATTTATATTATAAGGTCATCCATCATTCTTCTACATAATATCCTCTACATACCTAGTACCTAAGGTAAACTTGTTCTCCTACAAACTAGGTCGTTCCCCAAAAAGCCAACCATCCAACCATCCCGCCAGCTCGCCTACCACCCAATCCATGACAGCGGCAAAGGACCCTTGACCCCTGAACTAAGCTTTGATTCGTTAGGTTCGGCCTCAGATCTCCGCCCCGGCTTGCGTTTATGGACACCCTACTGCAGATAATATAAGTCTAAATTCTTAATGGATAGGAAAGTTGTGGACTTGTTGAATCTTGGTCAGCTGTGATGCTTCCCGAATCCCCAGGGACTTGGTCCGCTAGGCAATGACAAGTCAACCCCCCCTTACTGTCCCTGTTCTGCCAGTCTGCCTAGGTCCCCACAGCGCCCGCCTCATCGTGGGTGCGACCCAGGTCGCCTAGGATGTATCTACTATATTGATGACTCCGATAGCTTGGGCAAGCTAGGTACGTCGGAGAAGAACCGGGCAACTCAGCACGTGGGGAGGACCCAATGTGAGGCACCATGAGAATATGGTATCTGTAACCTACCTAGGTTAAAATCTCCGATGATTCAATTACCTCTAAATAGGTACCTACCTAGGTACCTATATTATCAATTCGAAGGAGGGAAGGGCGCATAGTATATTGACGGTGATTATTGCTCCAAAGAAATAGAATGGCTGGGTGGTGAGCATCTTGTGTTTCCCCAAAGATACCGAAATCACAGCGCGGGCAAATAACTTGCCAGCCATAATTTCATCGAATCCTTTACGACTTTGTTGGATCGCATTGAATCGAACGAGATGGACGGCGGGTAGCTGACTTATCACATGGTAGCGCACTCCCTCCGAAACTTAATAGTTGGCACCTTACACGTTATCTTTTTGCGACGCGGGCGAATAGGTGTTTTTTCTCCACCACGTTCCTCGCTTAAGATCGAAAAGCGTTGCGAAGCAAACGGGGAACGAGTTGGAATGTTTCGTTTAACGTGGGCCAGCATGCTGCGTGGGCAGCCTGGCAGCGTGGGGTTAACATAATGGTTCGGAAGCATGGGTAAGATTCGACAGGGATGCTTGGCGAGATTCTTGGCGACGTCGATATCATTCAAGTCCCACATAACATGAAGTGATCTCGAGATATGGTTCATAGGTTAGTTAAGTATGCCATAGTTAATCTACGGATTGCTCTAGGTTAGGTTGAAGCCAGGTTAGTCGACAGGGCAGTCAACAGGGCATCTAGTTTGCCCTCCCATCCCTTCAGTCTCCGCCCCTAGTAACCATCAATTTATGATAGGCATTTATGCCCAACTTGGATACTGTTGTCCAATAAATAATGCCAATTTTTATCCCATTCTCATAAGCCATCTGGTCAGGTCATACTCATACCCTCCTCGGTATAAGAGGGACGTCTTGCTTAGTAGGACGAATCATGACGCACCGCTGTAATCGTTTCACGCATAGCGATTAATCCGTACACGTATGTAAAAACTGCCATTAGAGAGTATTGTTAGTATTGTCTTCTTTTGAATTCATCTTCCTCGATATATGGGAAGCCTTACCTCCAGGGGACATCGCGATAAAGGCGACACCCGCGGCGATGATGGCTTGCGGCATATCTTTGATGATGTCGGGGTCTAAGAAGAAGAGCCCAGAGTGACCCGTGGCAAGTTTACCAATCTCTGCCCACAAAAGATACGCGCCGCTACAAAACATGACTCCAGCCGCATGACCGACAACGGACTATTCATCGATCCATCAGTTAGAGATAGCACATAGCGAAGTAGAAACCCAAGGATGAAAACTCACAGTTGGCCGGCGGATGCTATTGAGGAAGAATACCTCGATGAATGCCACAACCGATGTAATCGACCAGACGTTGATGATACTGAATGCTTTAATAGGGTCTTGATCAAAAAGTCCCTTGTCTTTGTTGTCATGATTAGCACTTACATCTACCTGTAACTAGAGGAGATAGTCAACTTACCTGGATAGTATTCCAATGTTTCGTTATTGCCAAAAGGCGGATGTTGAGGACCGTGTGGTAGTCTCGGCGGTGCGAAACCGCCATGTCCAGAAGGGACAAGACAACCCCAGTAGATCAGGGTATTCATGATCGGGAAGACCTGAGCAACCGTATAATACAGGCTGAAAAGGTACCGGCGTGTGCGGCAGGTAGCTCTGTTCGGTGGCGACAAGAAGCGGAGGGAGTAAGCTTTGAACTTGTGTCCCTCGCAGTCGTTGGGATCTACTTCAATTGCCCTTGGGAAAATGAGATGCATCGCAGTCCAGAGCTATTTTTTAAGACCTCACACGTTAGCATTAGGTAGGTATAAACTAGTGTCTATAACACGCGCGTGTGGGAGTAGAGCTGAACTGACCGTCGTCTGTAGATGCCATGCCTATTGTAAACCGAAAGAGACGGCCGAGAACTGAAATAAGAGGCGCCAGGGGCTATGTGTATCTTCCGTTTCGAGCCTATACTTGAGCGTCACTCCGAATACAGTCGAGAGGTAGCTGGCTAAAATGAGACGAATAAATAGGAGGGACTTCTGGCCGATAAGCTGGTAAGACGAATGACATGCCCGAAGGTAGATTGGCTGCTGAGCATTAGATTACCTCTACTTGATACAGCATAGAGAAATAGCAAGATGGGGATGGGTGCTATACATGGCTATCAGATTGTCCCAGATAACTGGACTGGCTGGGTTGGCCCGATTGGCTTGAATGGCATCGGGCCTGTACCGGCTGTGGGAGCAACGGTGTTCTATCCGATATTTCTGGCATAATGAAGGGGCGGTGATAGGGGCGTGAAGTTATTTATATAGGCTTAGGTGTTATCTAGTAGGTGGAAGGGTTAAACTGATAATTGAATAGCCACAATAGGTCCTGTATCCGAGGCCTCACGAAATGGCGTTGTAAATGTAAGGTTTATCGTCGAGGCTCGAGTGAAGAATGAAGAGGAGAACAGTGGAAGATGAAGTCTGAGTTAACAGTGATATATTAGAAGGGAAGGCAATACCTACCTAGGTTAGGTAGGTACGGACTTTAACGTCCAGCATTATATTCTGTGTGTACCTCTTACCCAACCATATAGGATTATAGATTTGAGTTGTAGCAGCAGCGGTACTATTTGCCAGGTACTCACCTAACTCAAGCACTAAGTATAGCATTCTTGCCTAAACGAGCCGAACTAGCTCGTACGCGCGATTTTATTGGCCAGTCTATCTTCCAGCGCGTTTCCCAGCAGTACGACTGTGACAATGTGACAGTGTGACAAGCCCGACTTCTTATCGATAGCACCGAAAAGCACCCAAGTTAAGGCCACTTTCACCTGTAGAAAGCTTTCGTCGTCCTCATTCGCAGCAGCCTCAATTACAACACCCATCCGCTAAAGCTGGCCTCAAAATCTCCGAGGCCAGCACCTTGAAAGCCTCCCCACGAATTCTCCACGTTTCTCTTGAAACGAAGGAAACAATAACAAAAGATAAAGAAAAAGATAAAGCCAAAAAGATGTTGTCAGGTCTCCAAAATCCCCGGCAAGCAGCCGCTCAGCTGCTGAACTTTGGCTTGATTCTATCCACCGCATTCATGGTACGTGTTGCTACCATGTCGCATTGCCCCAAGACCACCCACCCACCCTATATCCCGATGTCCCTACCTAACTAACATATCCCTCCCCTGCAGATGTGGAAAGGCCTCTCCGTACTCACCGACTCGCCGTCGCCCATCGTCGTCGTGCTCTCGGGGTCCATGGAGCCGGGCTTCCAGCGGGGGGACCTGCTCTTCCTCTGGAACCGGAACCTGCGGTCCGAGACCGACGTCGGCGAGATCGTCGTCTACAACGTCCGCGACAAGGAGATCCCCATCGTCCACCGCGTCGTCCGCAAGTTCGGCTCCGGCGCCCACGCCCGCCTGCTCACTAAAGGTGACAACAACGCCGCCGACGACACCGAGCTCTACGCCCGCGGCCAGGACTTGCTCGAGCGCAAGGACATCATCGGCAGCGTCTTCGCCTACATCCCCTTCGTGGGCTACGTCACTATTATGCTGAGCGAGCACCCCTGGCTCAAGACTGTTATGTTGGGCATTATGGGGTTATTTGTGGTACTGCAGCGGGAATAGTCGTACGTACAGCGAGGAAACTGAAGTGGGGGATGTATGAAAAACAACAGCGAATATTGATCATGATTTTGGGTTTATATTAGAGGCTATCCGCAAATAAAAAATATTTTCATATTGGCCAGCTCACCAATCCTTCCACCCTTCCATAATCAAATATGAGATATAATTATAACCTATGTGAAGACCACGGTCTATGGGTATTTTCCAGCCAATTGAATGCTCATCTTGTAGCCTCGCAGGCCCCCTTCTGCACTTGAATCGTACACTCACGTACACGTAAAGCCCGGTTGTGTAAGGGCTATACACTAGAATACAAAGCTAAAGCGCTCGGTGAGGTATCAACTGGGACCAGCTCTACCAAATCTGGAAATGCCGTTTTTAGATCCATAGCCTTAGTGCCGGTCCACCAAAAATTCTGTTCGACTAGTAATATTCCTCCTCGCCGTAGTCGTCACCGCCGTAGTCCCCTTCATCGTAACCTGTCTCATCGTAGGTTGTATGTTCCTGATCATCGTAATATTCGTCGTATGTCTCCTCTACGACATGTTCTGCATCTTCGTTTCCATCTTCTAGACCCTCGTCGTTAACCGTTGCATCGGGTGCCGCTCCACCATTCGTAGCAACGACGCTCTCTGCGCGACTTGCGGGACCGCTTCCGTTGCGAGATGCTACCGATCCAGGTCCCCGGTCCTTGTCGCTAGTAAAGAGGTTCTCGATGGCATCATAGTTGATACGTCTCGAATATGTATCTCGTTTCTTCAGCGCTTCGATAGCTGCCTCGCCCGGGGTAGAAGCAGGTGTGAGCTGCCCTTCACCAATTCGCGGCTTTTTTACCCGGTTGCGCTTCCGCTTTGGAGGTCCCAACTCCTCCATCTGCTTACGATAGATAATCTCCTGCTTCTTCCGTAGCCAATCCTTGTTTGCGTTGATCCATATGCTTTCCTTGATTTTCACCTCCTCGGGCGAGAGCTTGCAGAACTGCACCTCAGGATCGTCAGCAAACTCGTCTTCGCCGATAATTTCGTCCATGTTCGTTGCCCGCTGTGGGAGAAGAGACCGCGCCCACTCTGCTTTGATGTGCGCGAGATGCGCAGCGGTAGCTAGAGCCTTTCCGTGTTCATCGCTATGCGGGTCGTTAATAACCTCGTTGATCTGCTGTTCCAGTACGGCCTCATCACGCTCCCATTCATCGTCAAACGTGAGTTGCGGCTCGGTGGCTCCTTTCTTACGACCACGCCGTCGAGCTCCTGATTGTGCCGGAGTTTCCTCTTCGACTTCGGCTTCACCGTCGAGCAAGTCGTCCGAAGACCCGTATGTCGCTGCTAACCCATCTACCGCAGTATCATCCTCTGGATTTTCGGCCGCAAGGCCCTCTGCAACATCCCTATCTGCGCTCTTCCGCGGAGCAGGCTTCGGGATCTTCTCAGGGTTAAAAGGGGTAACCAACTCTCTTCCTTCGGAATTGTCGAAGGATCTTGGTAAGTAGTCCTTGACTTGGCGCATCCCAGAGGTGTCTGGGGGCGGGCGAGGTACTGGTGGTGGTGGCATTTCAATCGAGGGTCTTGGCGTGGCAACAGAGCCGTCTGGTGCCGGTGTTCCGGCGATGGAACTTGGCTGATCGTCCTCACCATCGATGTCCTCAATGGCACGTTTCCTTTTCCTAATTCGTCCTTCTTTTTCCATCTTCTCTTGCCATTCTGTCGTGCCTTTGTAGAATGCTGGCGGATCGTGGCGAGACTCGAGAAATTCTTGATTCAGAAAATCTTCAATGGAGAGTTCACTACTCTCTGTAACCGTGAATTCATCGAGCCGCTGTTCGATCGTATGTGTGGTAACCTTAACAACATAAACGATCTCACGGACGGTACGCCTGAAGTTCCACATACGTGCCGCCATAAGGATGCAAGCTCCGCAAATACCAGAAGGCCGGCGGCCCATAACCATCCAGTCTCGACCCATCCTCTGGCATAGCCTAGTTGCATCGGCTGCAACCTTGTTGGTGAAGTCACCAAAATCAAGCTTTGAGCAAAAGCGATATATCAGATCTTCCGGAATGATCGACTTGACATTATTGCTCTGGAAGGAATAAATATTGCTGAGATCCTTGAAAATATGACCCAGCTCATAGACATTTACCTAGATGATGTAAGTAAAAGGGAACAAGGGGAGTATAAGATAGGCTGAAAAATACTTACGTGAACAAGTTCAGCAAAGTCGATGAGCATAACTTTGCAACGATCCTCTCTACGGCATGCTGTATAGAGGCATACGGGGGCCACTTTATCCATACCTCGTCCTTGGAGCCAGTTCTCCTCCATGACGAGCTTGAAGATCTGGATGCCTGCATCGACAGCACTCGGCGGGATTTCCTTGAGCTGATGTGCAAATCCAACCATCATATTTTTGGCTATATAATTAATGTCAGCTACTAGCATTTTCATATATTTGGTCCAAGTTTTGAACATACCTTCACGGATGGTTTTCTCTCGGGCGTCCGTAAGACTGCCGCCGAGTCGTCTATATTGAGACCCCAAATTTCTAGAAGCACTTCCTTGATCCGCCCCGACAAAACTACCGTGGACAACGGCAGCACCAGATGAGCTTTCGCCAAACTGGACTTCAGCAACAATGTTTGAAGAATCGATTTCACGACCACAGGCAGAACAGAAGCCATCAGTAATTGGTGCTAACGGGTTAGAACAGTGAGGATTTGGACATGGTTGCCGATCTGACGAGGGTTTATTTTGAGAAGCGGGTGGTGTCATAGGTGTAGGACTCATCCCCATGGCCTTCATTTGATTTCGTTGTAAAACTTCTTTGATGCGATCGCCAGGCCCAACTCCCCTGGGTCTGAACTGAACCCCGCCACCACCCTTCCGCGAAGACGCCTTCGCAGATTTTAAGAACGAAGACATGTTCGTTTGGTGAAAGGTAAAATTAAAGTGAAAGTAAATAAGGCACAACACTGCATGTATAAGTGGATGAGCATAGGTATAAGTGGGCTATGAGAATGTATAAAAGAAACGAATAAGGAGAAGGGGATGGATGCACAGTTTAATTGATATCGTGAAGTGCCCGATCCAGTGTAAATCCCCTGTTAGGGGGAATTACCGGATTGACTGAAAACGAAGTGCGCTGCCAATGAGAATATCTCGTTCTAAAATGCAGCGTTGGAAAATAGGCAACTTGAATATCTTGATGAAGCCGACGTAGTATTGGCTTATAAGTTGCTTGTAAGTTGCTTGTAAGAAGTGGATGATCGAAAAAGTCTGGGGGATGTAGTCGCAGAAAAAAACGACGAGTGAGGATTTGTGGGTCACCAAAGTTGATGGGAAAAAGAAGTACTCTGGTCGGGGTCATCTGGCCGAGGGGTTGTGATGTCCAAATTGATAGAAAGAGGGCGCTAAAAAGATTTCGCCCAACTTTACTAAAAGTTACTTGGCTGACTCATCTCATTCCATGTGACTTTTAATCAAGCACGAACAAGCCCCGGTTCGAATTCAGCAGGAAACAACCTATTTTAAAGTTTGAAGTTTATCTAACTACGGTTTACGTACCCAGTACTTTCTGACAGATCCACTTCTAAGAGGTATCCATCTCACAAGACCTTTTTGAGTGTCGTCATATTCCATGATCAGAGCTTAGGCTGGAGCATCTAGCCAAAACACATAGCACATACTCAAAAATGGACGGTCTAGATGAATTTGAAAAATCCCTCGCCGCAGAGAAAGCTGAGAGAGCGCGCGAAGAGGAAAGGAGACATAAAAAGCACAGACATCACCACCGACGAGATCGGTCATCCGAACGCGACCGCGATGGTCACCGCCACGGCCACCGTAGGTCCCATGACCGTCACGAAGAAGAAAAAGAAGATGATGATGGACACCGACATAAGCGATCGCGCCATTATTCTAGAGACGACGAGCGTCACCACAGGCGCGAACACCATGAAGGTGATAAACGCGATTCGGACAGACGAGATCGCCACGTGAAGGCCTCAGACGCGAAAGAAGATCTCCCATTGCCCGATGAAGAGCTAGCTGCCGCGGACTATACTAGACCAGAAAAAGCCACCTCGAACTTAGTCCGAGATTCTTGGATGACAGCACCATCTGCGCTCGACATCGATTATACCCAGAAGGGTTCCAAACCTTCCAAACCTCCACCGCAACCCAATCAAGCGTCTCAAAGAGAAATTCACAAGCGAGAGCTCAATGCGACATATTTGCAGGAATTGAACAGCGGGAAATCCATAGGAGATCTTGAATTACCAGCACAGCATGAAGTCGACTATACATTTGGCGACAGCGGATCACAATGGAGAATGACTAAACTAAATGGAGTCTATAATACGGCCGAACAGATAGGGAGGCCTGTAGATGAAATAGCACTGGAGCGGTACGGCAACTTGCGCGACTTTGATGACGCACGCGAGGAGAAGATCGAGATGGACCGTCGCAAAGTATACGGTGATGGTTATGTTGGGAAGGAAAAACCCAGTGGTGAATTATTCCAGGAGAGGAAGCTGAATCAAGGTGTACATGAGAAGCGAGAAAAGCGAGAACACTCGCCACCGCCCGTAAATCTGGACCAAGGCACAGTCATTCCAGATGATGCATCAGCCCATTCATCAACTCAGATTGATCAGACTACACTTAACCGGCTTAAGGCCCAGATGATGAAGGCGAAGCTAAAAAAGGCGCCAGATGCTGCTAAGCTGGAAGCAGAGTACAACCAAGCAGCAGCAGCATTTGCATTAAAGGGCCCTGAAGCAGTTGTTCTTAATGTTATGGAAAACCGTATGCTAGCAGGGACACGCGGCGAAGCCAAAGCTGTCGAAACCAAGCGCGGCCGTGAGCGGGGCAATGTGGAGCAGAACGACGACATGACAATAGATGATATGATCCGGGAGGAGCGGCGAACAAGAGGGCAGGCCGGAGGAGAAGGCTTACGTCTGGCTGAACGAATTGCCAAGGACGCCAAGTTTGACGACGATTTGGAATACATGGACGAGAATGCCGAGAAGCTAGCCAAGCGCGTACAGAAATCAGAAATTAATCTCAAGAATCAGGCTGTCGGCGAATTTCAAAGGGTCAACAGGATTCTAGATAAATGCCAGCTCTGCCATCACGAGGACACCAATCAACCGCCTATTGCACCTATAGTCTCGCTGGCGACGCGTGTATATCTAACACTACCTACGGAGCCAGAGTTGAGCGAAGGGGGCGCTGTCATCGTGCCCGTTCAGCACCGGACTAACCTGCTAGAATGCGACGATGACGAATGGGAAGAGATTCGCAACTTTATGAAGTGTCTAACGCGGATGTATCATGAACAAGGTCGGGAGGTGATTTTCTACGAGAACGCAGCTGCACCTCACAGACACATGCATGCTGCCATGCAAGCGGTACCTATTCCCTACGACCTAGGAGATACTGCACCAGCTTTCTTCAAGGAGGCGATGCTTACGACGGACGAAGAGTGGTCTCAGCACAAGAAGATTATCGATACAGGAAAGCAAGCTCGCGAAGGGCTAGGCAAGCTAGCGTTCAGGAGATCTATCGCGAAGGAAATGCCATACTTCCACGCATGGTTTACTCTAGACGGAGGCTTGGGTCACGTAGTAGAGGACTCTAACCGGTGGCCAAGGGGCGATCTATTTGCGAGGGAGATCCTGGGGGGTATGCTAGACGCAGAACCGGATGTAATCAAGAAGCAGGGACGATGGCATAAATCTGATAATAGGGTAGAGGGGTTCAGAAAACGGTGGAAGAAGTTCGACTGGACCAGAATCTTGACTGATGGATGAGACCTTTGCGCGCCGGCGTTATGAGGTTGCCTATTAAAAACAATGGGAATATGTTGTCTGATAACATGTGCAACAAAAGAACAGAATACCTACATAGCCTCTAAGGTATAGATGAGAATTTTAATTGTCTCAGCAAGAAAGTATTTTCTACGATTCACATACTGGCTGTTCATTATTCGTCTATGAAGCTGTAATAGGCCGTGATGCGTATGTCTACGAAATACTTTAGACGTGTTTGATAGGTGAGGTTAGGTACCTGGTACCTACTGTGCAGAAATAGATGGAGTTGTTCCCTTTGCCCCTGTAAAATGCACAAGTAGGGACGCAAACGAGGGGTTACCCATGCCCGGCAAGAGCGATGTTGGTTACATTAGGTACCTACCTAGGCTGTAAAATAGGCTAGGCAAGACCTTACTAGGTCGGGTTTGACGATGATATCACTGCCTTCCTTAGGTAACCTGCTGCCCTCCTGCTTCTTCAGAAACTATTCAAGCAAAGCACGCTTTCTTAAAACAACACAACTACCTAGGTGCCTAATAAGACTGGAAGTTTCCAACTTGCGTCGGACCTGTTTGAACCTTTACCTGCAGCATAAAAAAAGGTACCAGGGACAAATCTTTTTTTTAATATCTCCGGATTCCTCTTCCTCCTCCTACGCACTTCTTTCATACCAACTTCAACACATCTACTACATACATCCAAAGCACATATTCCAAATCACCACAACAGTCACGATGGCTTCGTCGCAGAAGCGCATAGGCAAGGTAAGTCTATACTAGTGCAAACAAACCATCCTCTTTAGTCAAAGTCTAGCCTTATAAGCCCGTCTCATCTCATCTCGTCTCGTCTCATCTCCCACCTCCCATCTCTCATCTAACCAATCTAACCTCTCATTTTAACTCTCCCCAGGAGCTGCAAGAATGCATGACCTCTCCTCCCACAGGCATGGTGATCATGCTGCCCTCGGAAACCGACATCCACCACTGGACGGTGACGCTCGCCGGCCCGCCCGGCACCGTGTACAGCGGCGGCACGTACACGCTGGCGGTCAACCTGCCGGCGGACTACCCGTTCAAGGCGCCGCAGGTGACCTTCGCGACGCGCATCTACCACCCCAACGTGACCAACGACAGCGTCGGCTCCATCTGCCTCGGCATGCTCAAGCCCGAGAACTGGAAGCCCGCCAGCCGCGTCCGCGCCGTCCTCGACGCCGTCCGCCAGCTCCTCGTCGAGCCCAACCCCGACGACCCCCTCGAGCCCCGCATCGCCGACGAGTTCAAGAACAACCTCCGCGAGTTCGAGAAGAACGCTAGGTCCTACGTCGCTCGCTACGCTCAGCAGCAGCAGCCGTCGCAGTCGCAGACGCAGTCTGCCAAGAAATAAGTAGACTACGACAACTTTATTGTAGATAGGTATCCACCCATCCACCCTACTATAGGTACCTCTTATCTATCTGGTACTTAAATCTGGTAGCCCGCGGCTGAGGGAAGAGAGAGGCAAAAAACCATATTTGATAAGGGAGGATGACCTACTGGGTCGGTCAGGCGGACGGTTAGTACGGATAGATACCCTTCTTTTCATTATTCTTTCGCTCTTTCGCCCTTTCACACGAGCAAAGTGAGTGCCTAGATGAGTTGTGAGATAAGACAGGGCTGGTTCTTGGAAGAACGGTGGCGGTTACTACGTCTCGTACTCAAAAGCATGCGTGGTCAAATACGACTAGATTCAAGCTTCAAAGCTTGGGACGATATTCGACGTCGAGCCCTTTCTTTCTTACACCACTTTCGGAAACGCGTCTATGGAGAATTGTGGCAGGAATGAAGCATAACGACATTACGTGAGACGTTCTCATGATCCATATTAATAGACTCTTCAACGCATCAAGTATGTACGTACTTAGGTTCCCGCCAATGCAGCGGGATAATCACAACAAGTTAGGAGGTAGTCACCAATAATAAGTCTCTCTCGTCCTCAACAAATCTGTTGTATTGATCTTTGGAGCAAATGCTTCTGCTAGCCAGGCGTCCTGGCTCTAGTTTGCGTATTCAGTGAATGCATGTAGTGCGCCGCCAGTCGATGCTATATAACCTGCCCCTTTTGTAATGCAGTATGCTCTGTCTAAGTTTTTTTTTCCCCGAACCTTAACAATGCACTCGTATGGGGGTAGACCCATTGATGGTATCCATATTACCCACGCCAAATCAGTTTGGTTTTACATGGTTCTTGTCCTCCCGAAAAGATGAAGGCTTCTGACTCCTAGCTCCGCCCCTATCATGGTGTTGGCGAAAGCATAGGGAATCAGTTGACCCCTAAATGAAATGTAATATGTAATCCTTTTCCCAATACAAATGAACTTATTCCGTTCAGGTGGTGAACACAATGGTGATGAATGTCTGCTTCCCATCTCTATAATATTCTTCCGGAAGAAAAGAAAAAAAAGAAAAAAAAAAAAAAAAAGAACAACCGTATCGTAAGATTTCGTCAATGCCTAATGCTTATACATGCTGAAAATGAGGGGGAAAAGAAGAGAGGTCGTGACAGACAGAACGCAAGGTTGCAGATTCCGGCTGCGCTTATAACTGGTTTTGCTGTCACAAACTTTATGAACAATTCGAAGTTGTCGTCAGACCATGGCAGGTGAAAACGAACCGACAAAGGAAATTTGCTAGGAAGTACTCGGACTCGAGGCGGCGATACGAGATTAGACAAGCTCGCCATAGACTTGACCCCGTTCCCGGCGTCGGCTGAAAAGAGTGCCTTTCTTTTTTAAGTCGGCATCTATCGATACCATATTGCCAGTCTGCTTTTCTCTCTCTGCTTTAACTTGGACTCGTCTCTCTTGCCGCTTTTGCTCGACCGTTTCTTGGCTGAGATGGCCGAAACCGTTGCGGCGCTTGAAGCAGGCTTCTATTAGACCATTGGCGTCGATAAGCCGGCGAGGGATTGTCTGCACGACCTGGAAGATCTCCATAGGATCTGCCACGGCCTTGATCTCGTTCTCGCCGATCTTGAAGATTGCTAGGGCGATTCGGAATAGCGTCTTTGATCCCTCATAGAAGAAAACGTCCCATACGCGTAGAGTACTCTCGATAGGTAAGGTGCCAATATAACAACTCATAAACCAGGCCGTCATGCAAAGGGTGATAGGAGGAAGTCGAGTCGTCTCTGCTCTATGCCTGTGTCTCCAGCCCTTTACCCATACAGCATCCGTACCATCCAGCTCACCTCCAATCTTAGCCCAGACTTGGGGCATAGACTCCCTTAACGATGACATGAGCACTCCGAGATCTACATTGGCACCCTCCAGGTTGGTTTCGTGCGTTCCTGGAAGGTATACTCGAGCTATAATATTAAGTAGCCAGAAGGCGTGCTCCTCAGTTTCCACAAAGAGTAGCAGTAAGCCTGCTAGAAAATTAAGCGACTGGCAATACCCAATTCGTGGATTATAAATAGCAAAGGCGTGCAAGACACGGCGTAAAGATACGATCATTGGCTTCTCCTCGATTATGGGCATGGGGCCCCCTGTCTCTTTCGCAAGGGCTTCTTGGGCGATGGCAGTGGGTGACGGACAAGAGCGAAACTTGATGTTGTCCGGAAACGTACGGTGCAAGTCACGCTCGATCGCCTCCACGTCCACGGCCTTAGCTTTTTGCTTCAAGAGATCATCATACAAGCCGGCGTGTTTCGCGACAACGGCAGGGCCCCCGGCGTAATAGAACCAAGCGGCGCCCCTCCAGTCGGGAGGTATTCCTTTACGTACAAATCGTTTCGTCTTGTTCGATCGAGGAGGAAATCGGTTGGGATGATCGGTCATTAGTCCATGCTCCCTAAGAAACGCAGTCCACTTCTTCCGCCTTCTTTCCAAGTATTCGGTATATCCTTGGTTCCAGCTGTCGTATTGCTCTCGGTTGACGTATTGATTGCTCTTTCGAAACCCGTAGCGATCTCTTTCATCATCATCCTCGGCAATTGTCGATACAGTCGGATGCCGCGAGGGAGGCAAAGGACTGCGCTCGTCCTCAGTATCATCTTCGGTATCAGCACCTGCATCTAGACCCTCTTCCGCAGTTACGTCGACCAAGATATTAACAGCTTCACCACCCGCTTCACCATCCGCTTCACCATCTTCTTCACTATCTGCTTCACCATCTGCTTCACCATCCGCTTTAATGGAATTGCGGATGGCATTGGAGCCCGCGCGAGGGCTCCCTGGTATCTCCTCAGATACTTCTTCATTTACTTCCTCCAGTACTTCTCCACTTACTTCCTCCCGTGCTTCCTCATGTACTTCCTCATGTACTTCCTCGCGGAATTCCTCAAACACCTCCTCGTCCTCGGGCCTATCCTCACGCAAGGATTCGTGCTCATCGGGACCCTGGAAGATAGAAGCAGACTCTGGGTCAATCCGATGGTCAGAGGTTGAGGCTATGCCCGGTGATTCCGCGGTCGGTAGAAACACGGTCATCGCGTCCAGCATAGCAGTCCTCCTCCTACTCAATTCTGATCTTGCAGTGGCCGGCCTTGAGTCTACCATCTCGTTGTTGTCCTCCGGAGCTGAATCGTCGTAGAAACCCTTCTCGTACATTCCCATTATATCATTAATACTCAGTGAATCGTCGGCTGCTCCGTAGACCGAAGTTATAGAACTGCTCTTGGTCAAAATGCTACTCCTTTCAGTTGCTACTGTCCCCTGTGCTGTAGATGCCGAGAGTTGCGACCGATAGCTTGCCCTAAGCTCTTCGCTTGGCAACGATGCCATTCTATGTATAGAATCTCTAGCGAAAGGTGGCCCGGTACTTTCGGCGCGATTATACAATAGAGGGTATCTGGTGGGTGGGGGGTGTGGCTGTCGGCCTCTGCTTCGAAGATGCTCTCGACTGTGCATTTCGGGGGGAGGTCGACCGGGAACGGAGGAAAAGGTAGCAGCGGATATATTGGAGGAAATGGATTGGCCACGCTCTCGCGTCCACGACACGAGATGGCCTGGAGAGATATCGAGATGGTTCGGTTCGTTCGAAAGGTGACTAGTAGGCGTGGCACGAGGCGATTCATGGTAGGGCTGCTTAATGCTCGGTTTTCGCGGTCTCGAAAAATTGTCGACGCGTGGTGTTTCAGGCGTGCTCATTTTGACGGGCGACAGAGGAAATTCATCTCTAACCTCGGAAGCAAAGTGCAGCTCGTCGGTCGCGTTCGATGATCTACTATGGAGACTGCTAACAGCTGGAGAAGTAGGGGTGAGAGTAGCAGATCGATCGTAACCTAGGGAATCCCAGCGAGGGGACAATGGTGAGTTTGGTAGTGTTGGTATGCGAGGTGAATGATCTTCTATGGTATGACTAAACTGGGAGTGCGACGTAAAGGTTGTAGATGGGGTAGAATATGCAGTTGGAGGACTGTTCCAAGGAATGGGTGTGGTGGTGGCTGTGGTGGTGGTGGTGGTTGATTCTTCGTAGTCATTGTCTTCGTCAGCTTCATAGCCATCCCTCTCTCCGTCGCTGTAATGATGACTGAAGTTACTACCGGCGTTAGGGAAAATTGGCCTAACCGGGGTGTGTTTCGAGTCCTGGGCTCTCGAAGCGTGCGGGCCAAACTCTTTGAATTTCATGCCGCGCTCAGGTCTAACACCTACCCTAGCTGATAATACGTCTGATCTCAAATCTGATCTAGGGCTAGGTTGCGTCACCGCTCTGTACCCTCCAGGTCTTCTATATCGTTGTTGGACATCAGATGTAATTGCTGTAGGTCCATCTTGTAGCGAGTTATCGGCCATAGTCCTAAATGTTCGTGCCATTGGCCTTTGGGGGCCAAAGCAACCTAGAATGCAAGCAGCTTTCCCTTAATGCAATTCCCACTTTTACCTATGGGATCCCACAGCCGGGTAACCAAGCAGGTTGATACAACGCAGCCTTAAAGTGGACTTTTCCTAGGTACTTTAGGTAGGCATAAAAGATGATGATCTTAACTCCAACCTACAGTTTAGGTATGTACCTTGCGGCTGCGGAAGCGTCAAAAGAACGACATAAAACCCGAACTAGGTCCAGCCGAACGAGACCTAGAATTGGAGAATTAGGTTATGCACGCACGGGCACAACCCCTGGTTACCCCCGTGACTGAGATTCGAGACAATAGCAACGAAGATGAGTTGAACGAATGAAAAAATTCGGTAGAGGTTGAACGAATGCTTCTTAAGGATCTCCCGTCGTCTACGGGAGAAGGGAACGCAACAGAAAGTGATTGATGGGATTCAAACCCGGTCCATACCAGTGATGATTGCTTGCTTTATCGGCGTGGTACAAATGGATGAGACGGTTTGACTTTCTCTACCTCCCTCTCTCTCTCCTTTTCTCTGTTGTATGCGTCGTTCCGTGCGGTGGTTGCGGATTATAGGTTAACCGTAGACTCGAGGTCAGTTGTCAGTTGAAGGTCAGGTCGAAGGTCGAAGGTCGATGTAACGAGACAAAACGTTTGGCTGAGCCGGGAGGGTAACCCAAATAACGTCTTTTCCATCCAGAATCGTCAATTGTCCCTACGATTGAGACGACAATGATCGACTATGGAAATTGTATATGTTTGTTTGGTGTCTTATTTCTCCAAATATAATTAAATGGGAAGAGACACACTAATAAAGGTAATCTGAAGATTCGACGATAGAGGTACTTCAAGGTGAGTTAGGTAGGTGAGTTAGGAATTGTACGGTTAGGTACCTTCAGCTGTTTTCTTCGCCTAAGGTAATGCAGGTACAAGGTACACTAATAAGGAATGACTGGAGTGGGTGCTGAAAGTAGGTACCTGTACAGGGGAGTGGTACCTAGCTTCTGTGGGATGACCCAAGGTACAATGACTTTTTTTTCGGCAGTGGATAGTGAATTGGGAAAGCTCCAGTTAGGTCCAAAGATGGTAGGTATCGATTGTCACTCCTGCTGGTATAGCTGTTGCCTTCCAAAATGCACCTAGAAATATAAAGTTTCGTTTAGGTGACCCCTTCAGTAAGACAACGTTACCAATCAGGTACCTAGGTAGGTAAGCTCCTAACCGTCAAATCGAGTCGCCTCGAGAACTACCAACAGATCCCGATAAACACGGCTATGAATCAAGGCTATGAATCACACTCGAGATTCATTGAGGAAATTTTCAAAAAGAATAAAGTTTCGTTCGATTCAGTGGAATCGAAAATGTCTAAATTCTTCTTCTGTCGAATCCTCCGCTTATGCCGTGGGTACCGCCCAGGTGGCAGGCGCAGTAATTGAAATTAGTCTTAGCGGCCGCGGAACGGATTGCGACCCGTTCAAGGAACAAGGTTGTTCAGCGGGTATTGAACCGGCTTCTCTTATTGGCTAGCTTAGTCCTGGAAACAACAAAAAGGGTAACGAAGCAGAACATTTGAGAGAGCTGATTAGGCTGACATCATATTCCCTTGTATTCCCTTGACTGGGAGACATCGTAATTTCCCAAATTTGTCTCTTATAAACATGCCTGATACATTAGGTACCTTACCTACAATTACCTAAAGTACACGTAGCGATACATGTCCGCTGTCCACTGTGGGCATAGGACATAGCCAAAAAAAGCCTAAGCTCGAAGACCTCGGGACTACCTATAACAAAACGGGAAAAACCAAAGCCAACAATCGTTTTCGAGTTCGTTAGCGATCCGAGTCAGCCGTAAAAGTAAATTGCTTTTTTTTGGTTGAGAGTTTATTAATCACTTTAAAGAGTGTTTCTCATAAATGTATTATAAGACGATGTTAGTCCCTTACGCTGATGTAAATTTATATGCATCTCTTTCACATATTTTATCTATAAGAATGAGCACATGCATACCTTTTGGAAGTTAGGCACCATTTACACCTGGTAAATAACCAAAATAATGAAAATTTCGGTACAAATTACAGGTAGGTACTTAGGTAGATATTAACGCTATGACAAGACACGCTGCTAAAAAAGATTATGGGATTTATCGCAGTCTAGATTTATGGCAGGTTGTTTCGGACTTTCCTCATTTCGAAATCTCAAGGCGAAATAGCTATATCAAGGTTTAGCAACTACAAAAATTTGCACTGAACAACAACCTGGTTTAGGGATTTCCGAGGCTATGGGTCAGGGGCACAGCTGAGCATCTGCAATCCTAGCGCTGGTAGTAGTTTTTGCTGAGCAGCCGGCAGCTGTTGTCCACTTTATTTAGGCTGGGTATTGTACCAGGTAGGTACGTGCCTAGGCCCTAAGGTACCTATTGTCCATTGTGCATGGGTTCTGCAAGGATAATAGGTACCTTACCTCAGGTAGATACATGTAGGGGCCTCTATTTCAGGTACCTACCGTACCAGGTAGTGTAGGGCACTAGGCGAGTTGAGTCCGTGGACATCGTATATGAGGTACCTTGAACCTTGAGCGTTGGAATTTCCGTTTGACACGGAAGCCGGTGAAGACCTGCTAGCCCCGACCGAACTTAGCTTGCGTATTTCGGCCAAACTGGCAGAACCCGCATTTTAAAACCTTAGAGTAACAAATGACAGATCTTCATCTCACCACCTGCATCACTAACAATAGGAACAAATCTTCCTATTATTCATCTGTGAAATCACACAAAAAAAGGGTTGTTTTTATCAACGATCTCAACAATAGCTAACCTACTGTACATACCTTCAATCCATGTCACTCAACATCTTCACATGGCGCCTAGTAACAATCACAACCTATTAATTTAACATATGTGACTTTGCTTGCTTCCATGCGTTCATTGCAACGCCTCCATTCTATCTCTCATGGCAGGTGATAGCAACAATATGGCTCAAGATGGGATGTACGACGCGTGTTTTACGCGTTTCCTTGGTTCCTCGGCTTCTTTTGCTCTAGGCCACATCTCGATGCCACGCCAATCAATATCACAATTCCTTGCCGTCTCCTCTTGGAAGTGCGGCGGGACAGTCAGTCCGATCTCCGCTTGGAGGAGCATGCCCGTTGCGACCTTGAAATTCTAATCAGGTTCTCTATAATACACCGCGCCATTATACCCAGGACAATAAGTTCCGCTTATATACCGGCTTATATATCGCATCGATGGTCCATCTAACTAAGGTAAATAGGTAGGTATGTTACCGCCATTTGCTGGAGAACGAGTTGCTATGGACATGGATACTACCAGGTCATATCTATTCCCTCTCGTGGGCATCGTGGATATATGCGAAGGCAGAAAATAAACCTTAAACGTCACGAAAGTTGGTCGCAGGCAACTTCCAAGTGAGAGCACGGACATATTTTATACACGCAGCAAGGCTGTGCATCCCGAGCTTCACGGTTAAACCAAGTGGCTTATGAAATGAGGGGAAGACAAGCGGAAAAGAAGGAGGAATGTGGCTGGGCTGTCTTAGGTTGGAGGTTCTCCTCGCGGAATCGTCATCAATCGGTCAAATCGACTAAAACAACAGCAAAAATGGATTCTTTTTTTGAGCTTCCCGGCCCCGATCGAGCCTTGACCAGGATATGATCCGAGTCCCACACCTACTTACATAGTAACAGCTTCACTACTTGCTACTTTGCTGATGTCCTTAACTGACTTTGGTGGCTTCCTGGATGTGTATTGCTAGTCCATATTGACGGACACCCAATCCTGCAACTAGGGGGGAGAGGAACAAGAATGGACATACGGTAGCAAGCAGCAGCAGAAGCTCCCAGAGCTCCCCCGTCCGACCCCCCCTCCTCCCTCACCCATTCCCCCCAAAGCTCCCCCAGCTCCAAGCTTACCAGTCCCCTCCCTCTCACGCTTCGCGCTCTGCTGCCCCCCTTCCCAAGCAGCCTTTCTTCCCCAAGCACAGCGGCCAACGTTTCTCTCTCCCTACCACCCCCAGCTTCCTCTCCCCCTTCTCTACTTTTCTTCCCTCCTTTCCTCTCCTCCTTTTCCATCTTTTCTCATACTTAGTCCATCCATAAATTTCTCCTGCCTATCAATTCGCCAGTCCAGTTCTTAATTTTCCATCGAAAAACCGCCCCCCCAGCTCATTTTCATCCTCCAAACATGACTTCACGGAAGAGAAAGCAGGAGGAAGAGGAAGAAGAGCTCGTTGCTCTACCTAGCGACGAAAGCGAAGAGGAAGAGGAGTAGTAAGTTATCCATTCCCATGTTTCACCAGGCGTTGCGTTCATGGCTGCGCAATACTCGAGAAATCCGCCAGAGAGGGCCTCTTGTCGCAAAAGATGCGCCAGCGTCGCATTAACTGTTGGCATCATCGCGTGTACTGGCGCATTATCGCAGACATCACACCTTTGATGGCGTATCATTCAATCAGTCCAATTGTTGAGCTCAAGGAAGATGCATCAACTTTATGGAGCATATGTTAACCTTTCTATCCAATAGTATATCCGAAGGGGATGAAGATGACGACGCCGATGATGTTGAGGATGATGACGAAGAGTATGATGAAGTAGTCGAACCGGAACTGGACGAGGAAGAGATAGACAAAGAAAATGGTGTAAAGCGTAAGTAGATCCTCTCTATAGCCCCTTGATGAGTGACGGGACCTTTCCATCTTGGCTAACGGGTTCAAAAGCTGTTCCTACTCAACCTGAAGCCCCTCCAAAGAAGAAGCTGAAGACAGCCGGGGCTCCCGTCGAGCCCGTTCCCGTCGCCAAGAATTATGGCGACGAGGAGGGCGACGAAGAGGAGTTTGATGTTGAAGAGGAGAACTTTGAGGAAGAAGAGGAAGAGGAAGAGGGCTATGATGACGAAGAGGACGGTGGAGAGGACCAGGAGAATGGTGTCGACGAACCTAAGAAATTGGGTATCGACGTCGATCTGCCTACTAACGGCAAGACTCATGCAGCGAAACAAGTTGCTGCTAACGGCGACGAGGCTGATGACTGAGTTATCTCATACCTCCCCATTCATACCGCAGTACGCAACTTGAAGCCCGGTAGCTACAAGGAGTTCGGCCGGTGTGTTTCTCTCAGTCATAACTTCTTTCGCCCATGATCTTCCGCCTACCAATTCCCGCAATAAGGGGTCTTGCTTTTTCTATTTCATCACTGCTTATTTCATTAGTGGCATAGAAGGGTTCATGTGCCAATTTAACAGCACATTTAATGGAAAGACATCAAGATTTTTGCTCTCATTAATTCGGGATAAGATTTCATTTGAATCGCGCCCACCATTTAATCGAACGACGTGCGGTGCCCATGCTTAGAATAGGTAGACATTGACTCAGTCATCATCATTTCGTAACCTTTTATGCTGATGACAGGTTTTATAGAGCACCTTAGTAAGTAGGCCATGTCTCGTTGATACGTAATATACCTAGTAGGTAATTATCGCATATGTAAAGTGTGCGCGGGTGGTAGACACGAGAATCTCTTGAATGGAGTTGCGATGCTCTATATATTCCAATACAGACCTACCTAAGGTACCTATTCTAAAGAACCCAATCTCGTACCCCACAAGAGAACCCCACGTTTTACTTGAACTAGGGCCGGTTGACAGGTGTCCATCCGCCTCCGGTTGGTCGGAGCCGTAGATGGTCGGCCAGTGAATGCGGCCTAACGAGAAGAAATAGGCTCGACTAAGCAGTCGTAGGGCTAGAGGCCCACTCGCAGAGTTCGTTCGCGGAGAGATATTAACGTATCACCTACGAGATTTGAAGGATACTATGCAGGTGATGCTTAGTTGATATATGTATGTGAGGTTGGGCTGGCAGATATCGCAGACTCGCGTTTACCTAATGTCTGACCTCCTCTGAGGGAGGACCTATAGTAAATCATTGTATTGAACAGCACTAGCTTTCTAAATGTGTATAGTTTCCCACTTGACTTTCCTCAGCTCATTCATCTTAGAAAGCACATTACGGCTTGGAGCAACATAAGCGAACTATGTTTACAAAACAAGGAAATTCACCGAACAACCTAGTATTTGACGTAATTCGCATAAGTCAAGTTTAACAACCTTCGTAGTCTACTTAACTTTTGGGTGTTTAATCAAAGCCAACATTGAGAAGCGTCACACACAAATCTGATATAAACCTCGGTCTACTTACTTCTATCAATATCGCCCAATTGACATCTAGCTAGAAATACATACATACCTCTTGGTCGGGTTGGACATTAACTCGGTTCTACGGCATGTCTCTCAACTACACGGTAATTCGGTGGATATACACCTTCTGCACCACCACCACCACCACTCAGAAACATATCACAACAAGAGGGGGCAACGGGTGAGGAGAAAAGGACGTGTTCGCAAATGAGCAAGTCAGCATTACCTAGCTCAATCGAGAACCTACTGCTAGCCATGCCCTTTGTCGGGAAAGCAAGGGAAGTGCCTGTCGCCGAATAGGTATACACGTCCAAAAAGGGTTTCGTTACCAGGCGATCCCCATCCTATTTCCAACTCCCCTCACGTTTGCGTACCTAATCTACCTACCTTACCTAGGTACCTAAGTAAGGTAAGCAATGACATATATCCCGTTTTACGCAGCTACCTAATGCAGTCGGCCCGGCTTGATGTTTTTAATGGCACACATTCCGTTCCCCTCTTCCACTTGTTTCATACCTATAAAGGTCCGTACGGTTGGGATTTTAAGCGTGAGACAGAGCTTGGATGACGATGAATGAACGCCCTTGTCTTGTATTAGGTTAGGTACAGTAGAGGTATGCAAGTAAATACTTACCTACCTACCTACCTAGTATGTATACCCTTCCTGCGTACACTAGGTATGAGACCATGGGGACTTGAATGTAGATCAGATGGAAAATACTTCTACAGCAAACGCCATTTGTGGGTTAGTGCGTCCTTTGTCTCATTCCCTAGCTCCTTGATAAGCTTTAGAGACAGTAGGGATAGTAGGTAAATATGAATCTGTGCATATGTAGTACTTAACGCAATGGAGGTTAAAGAGTATCTAGTTTCTGGCACTCCTGGAGAATTAGCAATAGAGAACAACATTTACCTAGTATGATTTACGCTTAGTATGATTTACGCGCTGATTTGAATAGTTACCTCCGACCAACGCAGGTTCAATAGAGATGTTATCGTTACTGACTGAAACTACATGGTAACGGCTTTTCAATTGTTGGGTATCTACAGTAATCTGGCTGGATGTCTCACCAACCCTTTAGGTTTTTAAGTTATGATCATTCATCTAATAGTATATCGCCGCTTACCCTTCCTCGGCATCCATGGCATCATGTCGTCTCTTTCCTCCTTTACCCATATGACGGCCTTTCAGGACTGAACCCTTATTGCCCCGGTCGTCCATCAGAGTCTTCATCTCATTACGCGAGTGGCGCTGAGCCTCCTCGACTCGGCGCTTGAACACCATTACTTCCTCCTTACTAGTCTCGTACTCTCCTAATTTCTTACCTAGAGCCGCCTCAATACGCTGATAAATTTCAAGATCGTACTGCGTGACTAAACTCAAGGCCTGTCCAGCATTACCTGCACGGGCAGTTCTTCCGACTCGGTGAATATATGTCTTACCTGCGATGCTGTATTAGCTATGAACTTGTAGCCAAACTAGAAGGTATTACAGCGCAGGTCTGACGAGACAGCCTAGTAACATAGGTCTTTTGCGAATGAGAAAATCAGGGGAGCGGTAGAGGGGTTAGCTTACTATCTTGAGGTAAGTCATAGTTGATTACAACATCAACCTTAGGTATATCTAAACCTCGTGCAGCAACGTCGGTCGCGACTAGGATATCCCGCGATCCGGACTTGAATTTATTCAGGGCACCCAATCGTGCAGACTGCGATAGTTGACCTGTCAAGGATGTAGTCAGCAACAAGCCCAAAATGACGATCGACAGTAACATCTCGGAATCTGCGCTGCCGGAAGATGACACTTACCGTGAAGGGGTATTGCTCCGAAACCCAAGTATCGAAGGAAGATGGCAACCCTCTGGGTTTCGTAGACGGTTCTTGTGAATATTATGGTTGACCGTCCGGTAAACTCACTCGCCACAAGGAAAATCAAGTATGTATCCTTATGCATATGTGGGATGAACAGGTAGTACTGCTGTAGAGTTGAGACGGTCTGGTATTTGTTGCTGCTAATGCTGACGCGTAGCGGGTCTCGTAGACTGGCCCTCTGTAAACTTTCGACCTTTGACGACATGGTAGCGCTGAAGAGGAACGTGCGCCTCTCTCTTGGGAGAAACTTGAGTAACTTGTCCAGTATGGGACCGAAGTCCATGTCCAAAAGTCGATCGGCCTCGTCGATAACTAAGTACTTCGTATTTGATAGTTTAAACCCCTTCGTCTTTTCAAGATGATCTAATAGTCGTCCTGGCGTGGCCACAACGATGTGAGGCTTTTTGGACAAGGCGATGGCCTGGGGAACCATATCTAAGCCACCGACGATAACGGCGCATCTTACCGATATGGAGGCACCAAGAGCGTCTACCGATTGACCGATCTGTGCCGCAAGTTCGCGAGTAGGAGCTAATATAAGACCGAAGAAAGGAGATGGCTTTTCTAGGAGAGCTTGGAGGATAGGTAGAACGAAAGCGGCCGTCTTTCCGCTACCAGTCTCAGCCAGTCCTATAAGATCCCTATCTTGTAAAGCGAGAGGGATGGATTGCGCCTGAATCGGGGTTGGGTGTTTGTAGCCAAGTGAGTGGCACGCTTCGACTAGAGTATCGACGATTCCCTACAAGAGACCATCATGTTAGTTATAGAACTGTTTTGACATTTTTAAGACCCGAAAGCCTGGATGCGTGTGCGCACACACCAAATCTTTAAACGTTTTAGGGGCAGAGTCGACAACAGAGCCCTCTACGGTCTCGGAATCAAGGGATTCATCTTGGACTTCAGCTGCGGGTGATGTCTTTCGCCTTTTTGCGGAAGACATGTTGGAGGAAGTTTGTACTGTATGTGCGTGTTTGCGCAAGCAATAAGGTGTTCGAGAGAGGATCGAGTTGGCGAAATAATGGGAGATTTTATGTTAATTTGTTAGTCCAACAAGAAAGAAAAAAGGTTATCCTGCAGTCTTGAATAAAGTTCGCGATCGGGCAAATTGGAAGTTAATAATTCCGTTGACAAGATTCGATGGATGCGCATCCCACCTCTGCAAAAAAGTTGACCGCTTTCTGTTTGTAGTGCATTATCTTATCTGCGAAAAGCCCCACAGAGTATAGAGTACTGCGATTAGCTACCTAAGCACCTAGCAACTTTAGCGATATATAGTACATCTGTTTGTACATGATACTTCAATAGTGTGGGGCTATTTTTTTTCTGCCGTTCAATGAAGAAAAAAAATATACAGCAGCTTCTCTAGTCCTTCTACTTTTTCTACCTAGTTGTTATGCGATTAAGCTTACATTCGTCCCACTCCAAAGCCAATTGATATTTAAACCGTGCATTATATTATCTGTGCATACTGGAAATAAGAGAAAATACCTCGTCGACAATCGCAAACACATAAGCAATGGCTAAGAGTCGGACGAAAAAGCGCACTCATGTCGGCGCCAGCAATCCTAAACACAAGGCCCCTCTAACAGGTCGCTCCGCTATTGAAGATCCCAAGAGTATGGTCATTCGGATCGGTGCCGGTGAGGTTGGTTCCAGCGTCAGTCAATTAGCAAGAGATGTGCGCCAGGTTATGGAGCCTGGCACGGCTACCCGTTTGAAAGAGCGTCGCGCAAACCATTTAAGAGACTATGTAACTATGACTGGTCCGCTCGGCGTCACTCACCTACTCTTATTCTCGAGATCCGAGTCTGGAAATACGAATCTGCGTATAGCGACAACCCCTCGTGGCCCTACCTTACATTTCCGTGTCGAGAAATACTCTCTCTGCAAAGATGTACGCAAGGCGCAAAGACACCCGAGAGGCGGAGGCAAGGAGTATATCACACCCCCATTAGTACGTCTTATATCGCTACTTTTTCTAGCTTTGCCTTTATATACCTTACTAACTTGAGATCCTTATTCAGTTAATCATGAACAACATCTCCACGCCAGGCGCAGATGCCAACTCTAAAGTCCCTAAGCACCTCGAGACGCTTACTACTACCGTATTTCAGTCGCTTTTTCCTCGCATAAACCCACAGACTACACCTTTGAAGTCGATAAAAAGAGTCCTGCTCTTAAATAGGGAACCTGCTACGGACAACGATGATGGGTCTTTTGTGCTTAACTTCCGACATTACGCCATATCTACCAAGCCCGCTGGAGTGTCCAAACAGCTCCGTAGGCTTGATGCCGCCGAGAAGCTCCTTAGCTCCAAGAGTCGGAAAGGTGGCGTCCCGAATTTAGGGAAGCTGGAGGATATCTCCGAATACATGATAGGAGGTGAAAATGGCGAGGGTTACATGACGGACGGCACCAGCGGAAGTGAAATGGACACGGATGCTGAGGTTGAAGTTTTAGAGGATGCGCCGCGCAGAGTGCTTTCTAGCAAGGCCCGTGCAGCCAAGTTAGAGAGTGGAGATAACCCTACAGAAAGCGACGAAAGGGTAGAGCGGAGGCGCGTCACCCTTGTCGAACTCGGGCCTCGTATGAAATTGCGCATGACCAAGGTCGAAGAGGGTCTGTGCTCTGGAAAGACGATGTGGCATGAGCACATCCACAAGTCAAGACAGGAGATACAGGATCTCGAACAGCGATGGGAGAAGCGCAGAGCAGAGAAGGAAGCAAGGAGAAAGCAGCAAAAGGCCAATGTGGAGAAGAAAAAGAAGGAGCGCGAAGCAAACGGCAGCAAGAACAAAAAGGATGGAGCAGATGGGGATGAGGAAGAAGAAGAGGACGACGACGACGTTAAGATGAATGGTTATAACAGTGATCTATTCGACGAGATGATGGAGGAGGATGAGCTAGATAGCGAAGGATTGGCGGGAGACGCCGAAGAAGCACTCAGGGAGCAGATGGATGATGACGAATGGGAAGATGAGAGGGAAGAGATTGCGGACGAAAACTAATCATTCGTACGTCTTTTTCAGGGGTACGAAAATTGACAGTCACGGCGTCTGGCGCATTATACCTAGGTACCTACGCTTAGTACGTAATATCATGTCTAAAGGATGGTTTCTCGGTTTATACCTTGGGTGCGAAAAGTGACGCCGAATACAAGCGATTGTGTATAGAGTCAATGGTCGAAGTGATCTGAATTAGAAGATGGGTGACTTAGGTACCTAGGTCGCAGGTCTCAGTGATAATCTCTATGTAGTAGTAGTACTGTCTCTTGTAGCTATTTTCTCGGAAATTGGTTAGTTTAGGAACTTAGTGGATTAAGATAAGCTACAGTTCACTGAGTAATATGTATACGTCGTGCAATACCGGACATAATAATATAGAATATTGCTATGCTTAACCATAATAGATGAAACAGAGCTATGGCAATTATAAGAATCACTTACAGCCTTCTCCCAAGTTAGAAAAGTCTTTAGGTTAAAAAGGGTAGTTGTGATATATGATATAGTGAAGAGCTTTTAGTAGAGCCGGTCGAGACCGTGGAAAGATAAGGTAAGATTATCTTGTAGGAGTTTACTATACTTTATATGCAGTCTTTAGACATAGCTTTCACTTGATCACTGGAGCACGGGGAATCTCAATTATGAGGCTGGATATCCGGCTTAATAGATATCATGCTATTCGTAAGATTGCTTGCGGCATCCGTCTATCACGACCAAGTTCCATTCGCTAGGCCAAAGTATCCCACGCCTGGCATTTGCAACCACGGTAGACCCTGCCCATCGGCAGTATTCTGCCATCTAGATGAGATGTCAGTGAGATCGTTGCAAGATAATTAACAGGCTTACAACAGATACTTACACTGTGTTACCCCACCAGTCAGGAAATTGTACGTTAGGTCCGTATGTAACGGCGAAGAAGATGACGATGCCACTAATCGCGAGGCCACTATAGATAGGTCAGTAATTGGGGTCTTCATTAAAACATCATAAAAAAAGGAACTTGGACGTAGTAACGTAGTTGCCTCGACGAGGAAACACCGAGTTATGATCCAAGGAGAAAAGGGGGTAAATAGAAAACCACTGATTTCACGCACGTATCCAGTGCCGCTGCAAGCACATAGTTGTATTTTGCCCACCAGGCATAGAATCTCTGATAGATTATCTTGTTGAAGATCAGGTTGACGATATACCAACTACTGTAGTTGATACCTGTCGCCGGCGGAACATTGTACGTGCCGACGAATATGAGCGGCCAGTTGATCTTGCGGACGAACTCGTTTCCGGTCTTCTTCCAGATGTAATAGGTAATTGGTGGTAGGATCAATCCGATCCAGAAGAAGTGCAACAGGCCGCTGTAGATCTTACCAACCGAATATAGACGCGCGGGACCGACCAAACCCCATATCACGGAACTGCTGTAAACGGTACGGCCTTGCGGGCAGCTGAAACCGTTGGGTTGGTCCTCTGAGCAGATACCGGGCACGTTTCCGAGCATCCACTATGTCATAAAGAATCAGCGAGACTTCTAAACGAGACGGGATTTTTATAGAGCGCAGTGATGATTTTAGTCGAAAACTACTTACCAGTGTAACTCCCACCTGCGTCAAAGCCCCAAGCACAGTAGCCAGACCCTGAGCCCAGAACAGGGTGCGCGGCGGAATTTTCAGGTAATGACCCATCTTCATGTCAGCAGCAAAATATAATCCTTGGCCTACCACATCTTGCGATAGAATCTTGAATAGGATGTTTGCGATAGGCTTGCCTTGGAACATATACCCGCCAATAAACTCGGAAAGGACGTTAAGTTGGTTGGCGTTCACGTTCGCCAGCCCCTGAATTATGCCACAGGGAACCATGTAGATGCCGCCAATCACAATCGCAAGTACGATCCCATACACAGGTAGCCCTGTGTGATATACCTCGGTCATGGCGACGCTCATCCCGAATACAATGAGTACTATAGTAGACCACCAGTACCAGGGAGCGTTCTTATAAGCCTTCATAAGCCGGGCGTGAATGTCGAGCTTGAGCGATCCGCGTAATGCATGCATGATCTCTTCCCCGTGGAAACAGTAGACGTGCGACAAGACGCTATGACCTCTTGTTAGAAAGCATGTTGCTAAGTTAGTGACAAAGTAGGATTTGAAGCTTACCTGGTGATTGACGCAAAAGACAGACCATAAACGAATGCGAAGGTCGCCGGCAAATAAGGGGGCGAGTACGCCGCGTACTTCTCTTGGTCGAAAAGATTATTAGTGATGACCTTGGCGGTATCGTAAAGCTCTCCAAAACGGTCGTACACGTCCGCGGTGCAAAGGGGTAGGTAGGCCGTAAACCACGTATTGGTGTAATATATGGCGGGCGTGACGATCCAAAAGAAGACGACAAATCCAACGAAGACATTAGCAGCAGCCCAGTGCGGACTGAGTAACGGATTGGTATTGTATACGACCATGGACCAGTCAAAGGTCAACGGGAACAGTCCCAGGCCCGTTACCATGCCGAAGATCTGGTTTACTGCCAGGTTATTTGGCGCAATCCAGCATATCCACGTGAAGTAACTCAAACCGGTGAATATCAAACCGGGAAACCAGTACCATACGAAGGCGGCAAACCCCACGACCAGAAAGAACTTGATGCGAGTTATCTTCCATCCATCGGCTACCGCGTTGGCGCGAGAATGAATCGAGCTCAGCAGCGCTACGTTTCCGAGGACGCCTGGCCAGATCATGGTGGCGGGCTGGACGATTAGCGACCGACAGAGGCCGGCAATACCGTATCCGCATAGCTGACAGCAGATAACAGCCAGGATGGAGAATCCAGCCGGCATATCGAAGCCATAAAACTTGGAGGCCTGGATCAGGTTCGTGGCGTCGGCGGAACCAAAGCCAAAGGAGACATTGCTCATGATGGTCACCATCGCGTGCTCCTTGATGTTGAAATGGTGATCGGGATTGAATCGACTGATAGGTAGGATTCTGGCGAGCGTAACTCCGAGAGGGAAAGCGAGCAGCTCTGCTACGAGAGATACGATGTGAACACCCGGATAACGTAACGAAAAGAACTGGTTTACGCCCGCTCCTAGGAACACGAAAAGCTACATAGGTACACATTGTTAACGAGGAGATAAAAAAGAGGTTATATTAGGTTAGGTAGATCTAAGCATGGACGGCGAAGGAGGGAGAGGCGATCAAGACCTCTGGTTCATGGCCACTTACAATACCGAGGAACCATGCTCTGAACGTGTTTACGGGCATATTGGGATCATCCGTCTCAGGCACCACGGCCCGAACGGCGGGGAACGGGCTTGTGTCTGCATCCCAATCGCCCTCTTCTTCGGCTTTGGCAAGTATTCTGCCTATATCGACTTCTAGATCTGCTAGATGTCCGTTTGCGACTTCTACATCGTGATCAGGAGGTAACTCATCGCTGGTCGTCTTGTCTTTGACGCCTTTCTCCGGCATGACAAGATCTTCCACGACTGCCATGGCTCAAAATACCTGGCTAGACCCGTGCCGAGACCGAAACAGTATGAACAAGGAAGGCATGGGGATTATTTAACGCGTCCCGTGTCTTTTTATATTTATGTCTTTAATCTTGGAGACTTCTACGTAGTACCTATAGCCTTATCTTCCATTCTATCTTTTCCGCTTGGGCCACGCCTGGTTGGATCGGTACCTTGCTTGAGGGGCTACGCAGTGTAACATGATATCTGTTACTTACACCTAGGTACATTATGGACGCACGGTTGGGTCTGTACCCGTCTAAATCGGGATGGGTTTGATGTTTATCATCGGGAGTGGACTTGGGTGAAATCAACAAGCCCACAACCAACGATCTAACAAGATATAAGAGCCAACCAATCAGGTGTTATAAGTTTATCTACACCCCCCTCCTGCCCTTTTCAGTTTCGAGTTCGTATAATATTAGACAACCACCAAAGATAGGATTACATTACTAGGTACCGTTACCTATCAACCGGATATAAATTAGATGGGTTAGGTATAGATTTTTATTAGTGGGCGTGGTTGTTTCCGAATGTCAATTACGCCTCGTAACTATAATTCATAATATCTAACAAGTTGCTATTCTTGACAGGTATGAGTATTAGAGATTTGCGCAATACCTACTACCTTCATGTAGGATATTTATTGTTGTCATTTGAAATTTGTTGACGGAATGGGCAATAATAGATATCTAGGAAAAGTTAGTACCAACAACACTTGAAGTCTTTCCTGTGAATGAAATGGGGAGACACTACCAAGCTTTCGAGCCTAAACGTTATAATCATCGTGTTAAGCTTAATTGTACCAAACAGAAGTATACCTGCTCTAAGATGTAGTTGTCTCGTTGTCCGGTGATAATAACTGGAGCGTACTACTTGACTCAGTGCTTGATACTATCGAGCTTTATATGAGACAGGTAGGTACTAGACAGGGCGCGCCCAAAGGCTCTTGAATATGAGCCCGACCTAGCGCAGGTCTCTAAGCACCATATTGCTAAGATGCACCCAGGGTGGCGGCTCCATAACCGCTAAGCCTTCGGAAAAGAGCGTGCTGATGGCTGTTTTACTCTTAGAGAATGTACTCGCGCTTTCTTACCTACCTTCCTTGCTGCTAAGTGCTGAGACGAGAAGGCGAGCCAAAAACACGTTGGAGTTAGGGCCGCTTGAAGAGCGCAATAAGGTCATTAGGTGTATAATCATTGCCGAATACTTCACAGGCTTACTGGATGCTAATTTTTTTTTTCCAAAGAATGATCGTGTATCATCAACGCAGTGATATACATTTAACTTGGTACCTAGATTACGATAACTAATGATTACGAGGTAAGGGCTTGCCCTATTGTGTCGGTATACAACATGCCAGCAACACTTGCGGAGGTGAGAGTTGAAATGACACCAGAGATAAGCGCCGAAATGGCAATCCTAGATACGTCTCCAGCACGTTCAGGGGCAAGCTGCGACAAGACACCTATTTGGGTGCCGAGGGAACCGATGTTGCCAAAACCCTAAGCTACTGTTAAAATCATCATCTAAGGACGGCGAGGCTGTGGAATGCAGGACTTGACTTACACAGCAGGCATATGTAGCAATAAGCTTGGCACGCTGGCTCATGTTCCTGTAGCGATCCTTGGACTTAAGGGCATCGAATGCAGCGTATTCGTTGATTATGATCTTTTGTCCAATAAGCTCCCCCACAGGTAAGAGGTCTTGATTGGGAACACCAAGGAGCCAAGCTAAAGGATAAAAGAGGTAGCCGAGAATGAAGTCGAGGGTCAGGGGAGGGTCAGATATGCCCCAATAACCACCCCACCAGGTAAGTAGCCCATCGATCAGGTGGACAAAGGCGATGATGCAAAGGAGCGTAGCTATAATCATGCCGGCAATCTTCAAACCGAGCCAGGCACCGTTCGCAAAGGCGTTCAGGGCATTGGCAGCCTTGTGCTCATCGCTCTCTGGGATAACGACGCGGCCTGATGTCAGAGTCTCTTCAGTCTCTGGGTAGCGCATCTTGGAGACAGCTAGAGATGCCGGAATTGACATGATGCAGGACGAAACAAGCGCCTGAGGGCTCAGACCGAGTCCAATATAGACCACAAGAACGGAACCGGCGATAGTAGCAAAACCACACGTCATAATCTGATGAATCTCGGCCATGGTCATGTGCGGGACGAAAGGGCGTATCAGCATGGCAGATTCACCCTGTCCGATGAAAGGGGTCGCGGCGGCGACTACGGCCTCGGCACCCGAAACGCGAAGAGTCCAAAAGAAGAAGACGGCGAATTTGCCGATAAACCACTGGATAAGGCCGACGTGATACAGGAGAGATACGAGAGCGACGAAGAAGATGATCGGCGGTACGACGCCAGTCAAGAACCACTTCAATTTAGGCACTGATTCATTCGTGAGGAATTCGACACCGTTATCGGCGAAACCCAGCAGGGTTCGGGCTAGGGTGGAAATGAAGTTGAAGATGTCGTAACCAGCTTGGGTCCGCAAGACAAAGACGGCGACAACGAATTGAGTGAGCATTCCACCTTCAGGACTGTCAGTGGATCGCCAAATGATATGGAAAATTCGAAGGCCGCTTACCGATGACGGTGTGCCAAGGAATCTTCCTCCAGTCCTTCGAAGTGACAGTCAAGACGGCGATCATCACAACGAGGCCGAACAGGGACTGCGCGCGACGAGCGCGCGTGTTGTCACCAGTCTCTTCCGGTACCATGGAACCGACCAAGAAAACTGCAACGGTGACGAGAGCTGCAAGTGGACGATGGAGCTTCTTCGGGATCATCTCGTAGCATCTGAAGGCGGTATGACGCCAGACGAGTTTGACTGGTCTCATGACATACTTAACCGGGATCCAGAGGAATATGATGCGAAGCGTGATCGCCAGGTACAGCAAGAACGGGATCAGCCAGTTCTTCTCGTTCCGGAAACGAACGAGTCCGTAGATCCACCATCTGAAACAAAGCTATTGTCAGCTCCGCGACTTTGCGATGCGCGACTGCGACGGTTCACCAGGGGCCGCAGCAGACTTACGCCGTGAAGACGAGCCAGATAAAGAGGTGGACGTAGGCGCGAAGCCGTCCGTACCAATAACGGATGAAGCTCTTTTGCCCTAGATTCTCCTCGCCAGCTATTTGGCCTATATTCGCGCTGTCCTCATCGGTGACCGGCTTCTCGCCGGCAGCGTAGCTCCGAGGCTTCTCTAAACCCTTTTCCGTGTCGTCGGCGGAAACTGTCACGACCTGTGAATGATCGTGGCGATCCTCGTTCAAAAAGTTGAGAGTAGGATCAGAGTTAGGGTTAAGGCCTTCTTGGACCGCCGAGTTGTGGCCGGCATGGCCTTTGGCCTCGGGAGAACTCATCGGATTCGAAGTTTAGCAGCTGTAGAAACCTCTTTTTTGTTCTCAGTAAAAATTTTTTTTATCTCTTCTCTTTTCCTCCACTTCCTCCCTGGTAAGTTTAACTCGACTCGGGGAAATCCAATCCTCGTCCCAGACCGACAAGTGTGGGGAGGGGGTTGACCACGTTACGTTCCCGAAGAACCTAACGCACGAGTAAGTCAAAGAAAGAAGGGAAAGGGGAAAGGAAAAGATTGGGAAGAAAGGTTATATTATTAGTGAGATGCGGGCCGGGGGGCAGGATTAGCATCAAGGGCATCATCAAATGATCGATCTACATTTTCTCCAGATGGGACGGACAGAAGAATTTTAATATTTTTTTTTCCAAGGTCAGCCTCGGTGGACAAAGTAGGAACGTTGTACATTGGTGGCGACCGCGTGGCCTGCACTAGATGAACCCGGTTTACGCTAAGAGTTATAGAGGCTTTCTAGAAGGGGAAGGCAACCCTATCTAAGAGACACAATTGGATGTACTATTTTCTCTTTTTTTTTCTCTTACCCCTGTGATGGTCCGGCCGCTAAGTTTGGTACGAAGCAAGACCGTTTTTACTTACCTATCGTAGTATGGTAACTAGATACTACCCCTACGAAAAACAGTACTATGTAGAACGTGGAATCATGGTTTGATGATCTTGTAGTTAAGTGGCTAGGTTGAACATCAACCAAGATACCAAATGGAAAGATCCCGACGCCACAACCGTAACTGATAAGGATCCGTTCTTGTTAAGCCTAGCCAGTCTGCCAGTCTAGATTTTTAGTCGTAAGGGTCCTAGACTCACATTGCATTATGCCGGTGTAGGTACCTACAGTTACACTTGGTATAATCCTAACCGCTTGGACCTTTATAGGTAGCTTTAGGTAAGTACCTACCTACCTAGCTTACGCTATCATAGCAATACTGCTAGGTATTGTAATATCTTCCGTAAGCATATGTATTATAATAATAAGATCGTACATAGTAAACATTCGAGCCAAGGTACGATAATCCATGAGTTAATTAATAAGAGAAATAGTAGTTTTAACTAAGACGATACTTGACATAAGTAGCACTATCTAAGGTAGGTATCATTCCCAGAGGAACGGCGCGCCGATAATCTTTTTGTTCCCATTCCAACCCCGCCAATTATCAAAGCTCCCACCCCTGATTGGTTGCAAATTCATGATAACGAGAATTGTGCCGTAACCTTCTCTTTACTACCCGCAAAATAAGCCGGGGATAACCTGGGATAGTCTCCTCACCCACTGATAGGTTCATCCGACAATGGGGCACAGCACCCTGCCGCGCTTCGCACAAACGACATAAAATCCACCAAAGAGATAGACGAACACGACGTTACCTCGCCTGTCCGTCCTGTTCAAGTATACGGTCCGTAAGGGATAACCTTGCATAACGCACTACGCAGGTATTAGTTTAGGTACCTTAGGTATGTATGTCATATGAAAGCTCTGGGAAGTGAAGAGATACATAGTATAATTGACGCGAAAAATCAGCGACGATCACGAGGAGCACGGGTATAATAATATGTGTGGGACCCGGGAACTAAATACAGGTAGCTTGACTGAGGTACTGATGAACGAACTGTTTTTTCAGTGAAATAAGGCGAGCGAAGTATTATTTGAACATTTTATTATAGACCGAATATAGAGCTGTAAAGCTTTTCAAAATTTAATATCCGGTAACGAAAGCTGGTATCATCTACGAATAACTGTTGGGTATAACCCTTAACAAATAAAATCAAGAGGAAGCGGGTAGATATCATGAGTGCTTGCAGGATACGGCGCGAAGCCTGTAAATATCAAGGATTAGTACCCTATTAAGGATGCGGTAACACCGACTGCGATCTCCCCGAAATGAACATTAGGCATACATGGCTCTTGTATTGTATCGTTTCTCCGCACAAGCTCCAGCTCCTACTACCATTACAACCATTATAACCATCCAATTGGGTCGATTCCCTTGAAGGTACTCATGAGCACCTGAGACATATGGAAGCATACACGTATAAGAGGTATATAAATGGCAAAGTTTTTCTTCTTCTTCTTCTTCTTCTTTTCTTCTGATAATCTTTATTGGCTGTTGGAAGTATGTACCTGTTATTACATATAAGGGCATCTCCCGTTGTGAAACAATAGCACTTCGACAATTTGAGTGGTCGGTCTCAGAGATAAGGGAAAGTAGGTCACCGCTGAAAAGCTGACCATCTCGGCCATCCCAGCTGAAATCAGCCTCCACGCATCATCCTAATAAGGCGGGGGATACGCCACGCCTCACAGAGATAAGACACTGACGGACCCGTGCGGAGGAAGCCTCCAACTCGAAATCTCATTGCCCTTATCTCAAGTTTCATAACCATGTTTACTTACCTTAGGTACCTTAGGTATTTATAACAATCCTTACATCTATATTAAGCAAGGACCTTAGAGATATACACACGTACGAAGTATATCTTGAAATAGCTTCGTTCCAAGGCCGTGAAAATATCCAAGCTGGGACCATGTTTTCTTATCACCTTCCCAAAGAGAGAAGATGGCACGTGCATTACATGGATCGCACCGCAGATCGTTGCATCCATTGATCTTGCACCCCCTCATAGCAAAATAGGTCAAGCTACCTAGTCGTGTTCGAGGCCTCGGCAATTGGGATAGGATAACAAGGTGATAACAGGATTCGAGACACAGATTCCTTGTGATCCATCGATTGGGCTGGATCGTATCTCTCTAAATTACGTAGAATCTATTCGATTCTCTACAGGTCGCGAATGCGAATATATAAATAAACTGCGAGATCTTGATCTTCATTTGGAATTCCTTACAAGCCGTTCTATAGTATAGCGGTCGGTATTTCTGCTATAAGTGCTGTGAAAATATTGATTGGCTTTCTTAGAAGCTTAGGTATGTACTTGTGGCATTCTGGCTACATAGGTAGTTCTTGAAGGAGTTCAGAAACAGACCTAGCAAGCCAGCCTGGTAAACATAACCTACCTCCTAAGGTAGATAATAATCAGTGAAAGTAAACGGACCGACTCTAATATCTATCCGTACATCACATACTATTTTCACGACGTGCTGTTTACCTAATTACCTCTAATGTCCACTTCAGGGCATGTGGCTCGGCGACAATCATCAGGCCGGCCCGCCTCATAGTCTTATCGTCGTCTTAGACTTCAACTTTTATGAGTAAAAGAGCTACCCGACGAGTGGTCTTACAGATAGACAACTCGTATCATATTCCGGTCGTCGAAAGAATCAAAAAAGTATCGCATTTTTATCCTTATTACGTGACCTTCCTCAGCTTCAATGTCCACCTCTATATCACCACTCCAGATTTGAAAGTATTCCTCGGCAACGAGTTCAAATCTCAATAACCAACTTTATATGGCAATATGGCCGCTAACAGCCAGCATACTCAATGCCATTTTCATATCGTTTACTTGGCTAAAGCTAGTGAGAACGTTGGGGCCCACGGCCGCGTTTGGAGTCCATACTTGCTTGATAGGCCTTAGATAATAGGCCCGTGACCAAGATGGAACAAAATGGGTCTCGACGTGATGTCCTTGTTTCCGGTCCTCCATAAAAGCTGTGGAATAGGCCGTCAGACTAAAGTTCTGCTAAATATATTCCGAATCGCACACGTGCTATGCTCTCGTAACGTCAGCAGAGGGCAGTGAATCCGACCAACTTGTCTTCTATCAAGCTTGAATATTGACTGGAACCAATCCGACCAGATATCTAAGAATTCCGACTTTGACCTACTGACCTCCCATCAGATTTTAGGTAGAAGTGACGAGGAGTATCCATGACATCTAACATGGTCCTTCTCGCATATTTAAAGCCAGACCCTTCTTCAGATAAGGTGGTTTTCGCAAATAGTTGACAGTATCGGACCACAACGAACTAGAGGATAGTATGGCGGGTCATCTTATACAGTTCGCATTGGCGAGACAAGACGGAGAGGCCATCATAGTTTAGGCGAGTAAGTCCGAGGACTCTTGTAGTTTATGATATTGTATCCCATGGCACGTCTGACAGAGCCTGTCGTTCTGATCAAGATTTGGCCTTGTCCAAGGATTGTGTTTTGTCGAGGGATTGGAGTATTTTGGCAACCGGTAAATGTCGCATTCGGTGTTCGAAAGCCTCTGAGGTCAATGCTGTGAGTGTCCAGTTACCACCTGAGCCGGCTTCATGGGGCATGACTATACCAGTACTGAACTGTATAGCCAATTAAGGGGTAGTTTTCTTTAGTTTTCATGGGTAAATATCCTCATCTCCTGTTCACGTCGCGGAGCATGAGGTAGGAAACCAATTTCGTTGTTCCGCAAGGAACCCTAACTATAGAGGTAGCTTTGAGGTTAAAGCTATATATAAAATATCTCCTTTGTTCCCAAGGAGTCTCAAGTGAGACTTCTGACATCCCCATATGAGTCTTCACCAATGGCAATCAATGATCAATAAATCCCGGGCGCTTGCTAAACCGCTTATTCGGGAAGAAGTATGGCTCTTCCACCCAGTCGATAGGTCTTGAAGGCATCTTGATGCCCGAAAGAATCTGTCTGTATGTCTCCGCAAGGGTTCCGGGGAGCGATGCAAGAGCGCTTTCAAGTTTTCCCCCAGTGTCACACTCCTTGATTTCCATCAACAGGTCGATAGCCCATTAGAATCCACCCATATATTTTCAATTCAAAGTCTGCTAACTGTCAAGGGAGTCTTACGAGCGATCTGATTGATGCTATATGACTGATAATACCGTCCTCCTGGACATCGTTCCACCGGCCTCAGTCAAGCTTCCTGTTATGTGCGTCTATATCGCGGCTGATGGAATCTTTAGGAACAGATAGCTTGTCAATTTTAAGTCTCGTCGAAGTCGCCTCCGTTTCTCGAGACTGAGTTGTATATGAACACCAGTTATCCCCTAGCGGCATACTTCCTGAATGAAACCAAAGGTCTCACCATGGTCTACACATTCGTCTAAGGCGTCAATGACCATATATACATCCGTAAAAAATAAATTGGACAGACTCCTAAGTATAGAAAACAATTGGTCGAAGATTTCGGATTCACCGTTTCCAATTACTTTCTCATAGAGCTGTTTCGTATGTGTTCTCGTCTCATCAGTGTATATAGCAAGTTGATACACAAGAGCTCGAATTAGGGTCAATGATCGCGAAGACGAACTTCCGCGAGAGTATATTACACAAGTCATAGCCAGCCAGATGAGGCGTCTGTTCCTAGAGAATTTTGCTAACGGCGAAGTAACGATACGATATGGAAATGAATGTGAGGATAAGCCGGTAGCTGGAGAAGTTGGGAGCGGGTTATGAGAATGATAAAGCATGTGGAAAAGCTACAGTACATCACGGCAGCCACCATGGGCAAAGCTCTATCTTCTCATCTTCAAGATAGTCTGATCGTATGGTTAGACAGATAGGTACTTGAGGGAGCTTAGAGGATTATTACCACTTTAGAAATGGGTTAGGTTAGATTAGATTCTAGGCAGGCTAGGTAGGTAGGTAGGTTAGGTTAGGTAGTTAGGTATATAGTACTTTTGTTTCTTCTTCGTGCGAATCTGAGTGATTAGCTACTAGTGTTATCTTTTATTGCATGCCTACTGTTAAGCTGTTCTTGCAGCGGGCGTGTCGAGTAAACAGAGTCGGGCCGGCTAGCTGTCGTTCTCATTTACCAAATAACCGAGTCGTTATAGTTGAAATATACCGTTCTTAAATGCCCCATGTGTCTATTGGTTAAAGTGAAGGGTATATTGAAAGTCCGTAGGCTCTTCTTTTTTGAAGCAACAGCCTCGACCTTAGGTTATGGTGTGATTCTTCAAACGGGAAATGCGCGCGACGCCGCCGCAGTGACCAACAACGAAACAAGTGAAACATTATAACCCAACACTTTATTTGAAGCAATAACGTGAGACTGCCCTCTGCACCGTCAGAGTCTCAGACTCTCTTAGTGGCACGAAAGCTCGAACTCCTTCATTTGCGTAGAAGTCTAAGGTTGCACAAAAATTGCACATAGACCAACTTCCTAATTCAGAGATAGTCTGGCGCAGTATTAGCCCTCAAGTGTTCGTCAAATTATAGACAACTGGATCACTTTGCCTTGTTTAATTCCATAATTTCCATCATTTAGCCCCCGTCCCGAATCTGTATCTGATCCCACCATGCCGAGATGCGCTTACGTAGTGGCCTAACAGCGTACTCCTTCCAAGAACCCTAGTTCCAAAACCCTAGAACTTAGTTGTCAGTTCTTTTCTGATGATGAATGGCAAGTTTTAAGTATTTTCGGTTGATGATGTTGTATTTACCTATGTCACTTCCCCAAGTTTAGGTGCTCGTACCCCATTTGTTTACTTACCCTAGGTACACAGGCAATTGGTCAATATACCTCCTGTGGCTTTCATGTATTCTTTCTATATACGGGCCAAAGAAGATAGTTACTCGATATGAAAATACTTCTTCTTGTTCTGACAATCGCCTCGTTCGCTTTTGCACAGTTCTTGAACCCCCATCCTGTCCAAGCAACGTGGAAGATCGGCGAGATTCAAAACATTAACTTCAAGACAGCATACACGACTTTCTCCATCGCTCTCTGGCAGCAAGGTCCCGATGGAAGCTCAGCAACTCTGGGGCCGATAGTCTTTCGTAAGTGATTCTCACGGCATCAATGCCGCTGTCTGAGTCTAAGTCTGAGTCTTCATTCTGAATTTGGGTACTAACTAAGCATCATTAGAGACGGTTAACAATGCCGCGACCCAATTTACCTGGCTTGTCCAGGCCTACGATTTTGACCTAGCGGTATCAAATGTATTCTTTTTCTGGATGTTCGATGGAGATCCTTCTTTACAAGGAAACCAACAAATTCCTCAGATGTCTTCTGCATTTTTCACTATATCGAACGAAACCATGGATAGCACTACGACGGAGACATCTCCCTCGAGCACTTTGCCCTTTCAAGTAACCACTGAAGGAACCACTCCAGGAACCACCCAGGGAACCGCTCAAGCAACTACTCAAGCAGCAACTACTCAATTGGCCATTCCGACACCGCCATCTTCAACTATAGATCAGCCTGGAGAAGCTACCCAGAATGAGACCGCCGAGAAAGAGCCCGACGACGACCTAAGCGCCGGTGCAAAGACTGGAATAGGTGTTTCCGCCGGAGTAGTAGGTTTGTTGATAATCGTGTGTACCGGGTTATACATCGCAAAATTGAAGAAACAGGTGGCCACGCAATCGAACCCCTCAAGGGAAATGTGGTCAGGTCCTCCGCCGGTGGAAATCGATAGTTATACGCAGAGGCCAAAACATGCCGAGTTGCCCTGAGAAGACATATCGACGACAAGTTGGTTTATAAAGGAGCACTGGCGTTATGCGTTTTATGAGATACCTATTTCTGAAGCAAGTTGATCTGAGTTTTGACTTGGGATGGAATACTTGATTAATTTCTTGTACAAAATAGGGACTCTACAGTTATTGGTGTTTCCTGTTCCTCCAGGTTAGGTACCACATTTAGATGATTCCCTTGGACCCGAGTCTATATAGGAGGTAGTTAGTAGTAGTGCAGGACGCTATTGATGCTGGAATATTTCAAAGGAAATATTATTGAGTACACAAGCGCCGTAAGCGCATTCTATTATTTTCTGGTGTAACTAGTCAAAAGGTGTAACGTCAGATCTGTTTGGTTGAAACATGAAGCAAAGTGTTGGTTGACTTGGCGGCGCGCAAGGTAATAAACTCGGAACCTGGGAACCTGGGTAGGATTCCATGTTGCAATAATCGTGCTTATAACTTCAGAGGGTACATACAATACCTGTTATATAGTCCACCTGCTGTAAATGGTAAATAATGAAGCAACAATATTCAATTTGCAGATGAACTGCGCCAAAAAGAATGCAGTTGGCAATTCTCGCGAAAGTGGAGGAAAAATATGTAAAGGGTCCCGCATTCTGAGACATAAATGGTGAAAAAGCGAAAGAAAAAAAAATCAGTAACTCCCCGGGAAAGGCTCGAACTTTCAACCTCCTGATAACAGTTTTAGTAACAGTCAGACGCGCTAGCCAATTGCGCCACCGAGGAATTGTTGAAAAACAGGCCGGTTTTAATTAGCTAAGTCGTAAAGTTCTAGCACTCCCATCATTTACCCGGACGACTGGAAGGTTATTCCACTAACGTCAAACCCTTTTTCCCCACATCAATACCTAATCTTTCCATGCTCTCCTTGACCAACCCAGAAGAGTTATTCACTAGGCCTCGCATATTCAAAGAGACTACCTAAGGTGCCTAGTATATACTGAGTTATTAAAGACGTCATACTACTTGACGATTAACGGGGGGGGGGGGGGGGGGGGGGTGGTTTTTTTGTAAAAAAAAAAAAAAAAAAAAAAACCCAAAAAAACAGCCAACTTGTATTTGTAAAATAAAAAACTAAATTAGTTATTTG